ATTCTGCTGGACACAAAATCCAAACACCAGTCAGTCCAGATGCTGATGTGTGACTTTGCAGAAGTGGGAAATGTTAACCCTTGTCAGAACAGAAAGCCTCTGTGGTGGTTCTTCATGTGAATCCCACCTCTGTCAAGGCAGCTTTCCTGCTCTCTGACTAGGAAACCTACAATTGTCCTTGCGAGATCCCAGACTGAAATATATTCTTTTGTTTCTCTGTCACAGAAACTTGCCTTCATGGTGTCTCTAGGGTTGGTAACACATGACCATCTAGAAGGTAAGAGAAGATATTCTCAGCATGGTCTTTTTCCTAGTTTTGTTCCTAAAAGTGCTATTTGCCTGAATTCCTAGATCAGGAAGTTGGGGCACAAATAGAGTATAATTCAATCAGTGTGGACTGGATTTTCTTTAGAGGAAGAATTGCCTCCTGTCCATATAATGCCCAGACCCTCCTCTTCCTAGTACCATTCATACTCCTGGTCTTCGTCTCACAACAGTGCTCCTTTGACAAGTCTGTCTCAGTTTTCCAGTGATGGACCATCAGGATCCTAAGGACAGTTACAAAGCTCTGCAGCCCCTTGTTACTTAGTTCAGGGCACTGAATTTGAGGAGTTTTGGTTGGTAGTCTTTAGCTACAATTCATACAGACCTGTATGCACAGCAGTCTAAAAATAAACGAGAATGGCTGTGTACAAGAGTGGTCCACATCAGTGGACACAAAGCAGTGCCCTGAAGGACAGTGTGGCCTCACCTGCTGAGAGACACGAATAGTGTGCCTGCTTCTGTTCAGGCCTTAGTGAGACAAAGCCTTGCCCCTGTTCCTTACTGATTGCAGGAAACCCAGTACATTAAATGGTGAACTTAGTTTCCTTGTTCCTATCTTCTAACTGAAGCCTTTCTCTTCTCAAGAAATCCAAAGCAAGAGGCAGGAGCGGAAGAGAAGGACGACCGCGAACCCGGTGTACAGCGGGGCCGTCTTTGAGCCAGAGGTACTGCAGCCAGCACTGGCCCTGCCTGTGCCCTGGCTTCTGGGTGGCTTGTTAGTCCCTCCCACTGAAAGCCTGCTGCTAAGAGCAGTGTGACTGTCCTCAGCCTCATCAGCTCTGTGAAGTGACGTGCTTCTCTCTGCTCAGAACGCTCCTGTGTTTTCCATCACTGCTTGCCTCTTAAGGATTTGTTTTGCTAAGTTTGAGTAGATACAATCCTGCCTTACAGGCAGGATTTTAGTTCATCCTGACTTGACCACACTGTTGTGGAGCAGAGGCAGGCCCCTTTGGAGTATTCTCTCAGAGCCAAGTACATATACTAAAACACATTTGCGTGGAGACCTTGGGATGTTTGGCACAGACTGGTTAGCATGTGATAAGCATGTTTGCAGTGTTCATGGTAACCATGTTATTCAATAGTCACCTCTCCTTCTTAAATCTCCAAAGCGTAAGAAGAGCGCAGTCACTTACCTTAACAGCACAATGCATCCTGGGACGCGGAAGAGAGGTGAGTGCCTTTTAAAAACCCTGTCTTGCTTCTGCCTCTGCTTTCCATGTTGTGTTCTTTTTCTCCTCCCTCCTTCTTTTCCATTGTCCTAGAACCTAGCTCCTGTATCCCTTGAAAGTAGTTTTTGTTGTTTTCTGAGAATATGGAGGAGAAGAGAGATTTCTTAGTGCTCTGAACACAGGGCTAAAAGCTGACTTTTTGAGTCCTGGCTAAGCTGGCTCAGGAGAATGGCTTAATGCAGCATTTCTGCCCCAAGTATTCCAGGCCATCCATGAATAGCTCAGTGAAGAGAACACCGTGTGAAAGGAAGCGTTTAGTATCATTAAACAGCTGAGCACTGCTGTTGCCAAGGTGTTCCTAATAGTGTCTCAGTTGTCCTCTTGCCAGTGAGGGTAGGAAGGGACTGAGTTTCCATGATCTGCAGACTTTCCAGAAAGAGAATTTAGAATCTTTTATCATGAGCATCTCTAGCTACAGAAGAAAAGGATGCTGGGAAAACAGGCTCCTCAACGCAAACATTCCAATCTTCCAGACCTTACTGTAGGCAGACCAAAACAGCAGCAACTCTCATCACACAGGTCTAAGTAGGTCTTAATAGTTCAGGCTTCGACTCATGAACAAGGTGCTGAAATCGCCCTCTGATGTTAGTAATGTGTCCCAGGATCCCTTTTTCCATGTGGTAATGTGACCCTGAGTTACAGTTGCAGGCGGGAAAGGTTGCCGAGTCAGTGACTAGCAAACTGATCCTTGTGCGTGCACACAGACGCTCAGAGCCATTGGAGACTTTGGCGGTCACCCTGACCTTTGTCTGCCTTGGGCAGACCTACCAATGTGCATTATATTTCTGAGGCATAGCCAGCCTCGGTGACCTTTCATCTGTCCTGCCCTGAAAGTGACCAACCCATCTAGATGAGAAACCTTAAGTTATTGCTTTGTACTGGCTTCTGGGCCACAGTCATAAGGTACTTTCTGGTTTTGTGTTCAGCTATTTTTTAGTGACCACACTGTTCTCAGATAAGAGGTCCCTAGCCAGTGGCCTCAGTTAATTGGCCTGCTGGGAGGTAGTATCTACTTAGAGAACAGAGGTTAAATGAGCCAGAAAGGTCAGAGGCTAAAGCCTGCATTTGCAGTGCTGTGGACATGCCTTATATGGACAAGCAAAGAGTCTGCTGTCGGTTTCCTTCCTCACAGCACTAGGCTCTGTAGGAAAAGACCGTCAGTCTGTCTTTGGAACACAGACTCTGTCTGACTGATACAGGCAGTGCTAGGGTGGTGTCTGGCTGTCATAACTTCCGTGCATGGCCCTGAGAGAGACTGACTGGTGGGGACGCCTTCACCGGTGCTCGTAGGCAAAGCAGGCTTTACTGGCTTTTCTTAATTTGGTGTGTTGGGTTTGTACTCATGACCACGGACAGCTTAGAGGCTGTCATCCAACTCTCAGGAGACACGCATCTTGATTTAGGTGTGTGGTAAGAGCGACTGCCCTAGACTTCCTGTGACCCGGGGCTCTGCTTTTTTAGACTGCTTATAGATTGCTTCAGACTGGACCTTTCACAAAAATGCCCCTGTCCTTCCTTAAACGTGCAGCCCATGCCTGTGGGTGGTGTGAAGCAGGGAGGCGGCTCTCAGAGCAGCACAGAGGCCACCAAGGCCGGAAGCCTGAGGATTCACTGTTACACTCTCACACTCCAGCTCTTCTAGAAACTCCCTCCCAGTGGCTCTGCCAGCAGAGGGCCAGAGGAGTTGGCTGAATTCTGCCTCCTCACACTGCCTTCCTCCACTCTTACCAGCAGGAAAAGGTCTAAACTGTTGACAAGAGAGACATGGAAAAGCAGAAATGCTGAATAAATCCATTCGTAAGAACAGAGGGTCCTTAGGAGTGATGGCTGCAGAACAAACCTTAGTGACTAATGCATAAAACACAGGAAAGAAACTGTTGTGGCTTTATGCTCCTTTGCTTCATGACCCCTGGGTCCTCCTATTAGAAACCTCAGATTGTGGGAGTCCAGGAATGATCATGATCTGCGGAGATGGGGTCTTTTTACAAATGCCAGCACCTTTTACCACTCTCCAAGGCTCCCTTCTCCTCCCTTCTTTTAGAATTCATGTAGTTGTTTCTAATGGCATTGAAATCGTTGCTTCTTTTCTTTCCTCTGGCCTGTGTATTAACCTTCTGTCTGCTACCTCACTTCCTTTTCCATGCTAGCCAATGAGGAACACTGGCCAAAGGTATGTAAGACCATTTTCCCCTGTCTTTCCCTCCCCCTTTCCCCTTTTGTTCCCTTCTCTTGGTATATAGGTCGTCCTCCAAAATACAATGCAGTGCTGGGGTTTGGAGCCCTTACCCCAACATCCCCCCCATCCAGTCATCCCGACTCCCCTGAAAATGAAAAGACAGAGACCACATTCACTTTCCCTGCACCTGTGCAGCCTGTGTCCCTGCCCAGCCCCACCTCCACAGACGTAAGTAACTGGGGGGCCTGCACTCTCTCCGAGAGCTCCCAGGGGAAAGCCATGTCCTGTGTCGTCTCCTCACCACACTGACCCTTCCTCCATAGCCCGGGAACAGCAGCAGACCCTGCAGAATGCCTGCATGCCATGCCAGGCAGCTGTCTTCTGGGCTCTCAGCTCTTTCTTGTCCTAGAGAGTCATGTTCACATAAATCCAGAGAGCCCAGGGTTTCAGAGTCTGATTTGATCAGCTCTGCATGAGCTCTCAGAGGAGGGTGGGGACATGGACTTACACAGTTGAGCGGTCTCTGTCATTGGTGTGAGTAGAGCAGATGCATCTAGTAGCTCTGCTGCTTTGTTAGGCACACTTCTAGAAGTGCAACATTTTCTGTTTGGAACTGGTCAGAAGCAGGCTCCAGCACTTACAAAGCAACAAGTTCACTCAGCAGATCCTGACCGAACACTGTTCTGCTGAGCGAATGCTGCTCATGAGGCTGGGCAATGTACAAGCACTCGAGGGCTTGTGTTCTGTAGGAAGAGGTAGGCAACGAAGGAACAAATATGTAACCCATCAGGCAGAGATGAGCACCAGGAGGAGAAATGGAACGGTAAGGGACAAGGTGCAGTGCCAGGACAGTGAAGGCATCATCCATGCAGAGGGAGAAGGGACCCCTCGGTTATGTGTGGGAGATGTGACCAGAGAGGTGACTAGAAGGCTCTGTGCTTTTATTCTAAGTACACCAGGAAGCCACCAGTGCTGTGACGTAATCTCCATTGACAAATGTTCCAAACGATTCTCAGACCCGTGGGAAGGTTGCAGCAGTGGTGTAGTGGACGGTAGCGCCATTTGCTCTGATTCATCAGTTAACTCGCTGTGTTTGTGTCTTGCTTTACATGCTTGCACCCACATACATGTGCAAACATGTGCATGTATGCACACTTTTTTCTGAGGCAATTAAAATTTTTCACTTCTAAGAATGACAGTGTTCTGTTGTGTAGCCACCATGTGGTAATGAAATTATGGGAATTTAACATTGGTTGTGTAATATTCAGTTCATATTCCAGTTTTTCTACTTGTTCCAGTAATTGCCTTTGTCCAAGGTCACTCTTGGCGTTTGTTATCCTGTTGAATCTCTTACTCTCCTTTATTCTGAAAGAGTTTCTTAGGCCATCTTTTTTTTATTAAATTTATTCATTTAGAGTATGTGTATCTGTGTCTTTGTGTATACACCTATGCCACGGCATATGTGTGGAGGCCAGAGAACCGCTTTGAGAATCAGTCCTCTCCTTCCACTTTGTGGGTCCCTGGAATTGAACTCAGGCTTGGTGACGTGGGCATTTATCCACTGAGCTGCCTCCCCAGGCCCTCAGTCCATCTGTGTCTTTCCTAATGGTGGCATCTTTTTTCAGTGGGATAGTTGCTCCGCTGGATTGTCTCCAGAATAGATGGAAGCACCTAGAATCAGGAATGACAGGTTCCTCTCTGTGTATTGCAGCAGGAGGCATGTGACATCAGCCTGGTGGTGGTGGTGTTAACTTTCATCTCTTGAGATAATTTCCATTGAGTTTTTTTGCTTGTAAAGTCTGTTTTCCCTCTGGCGGGAGACAGCTTTGAGTGCATGTGGATAGTAAGTCTAGTTTCCTAACAGACTGATAACCAAAGACTTCAGCCTCCTTGGATGGCTCCTGATGCTTATAGAACCAGCTGGATTTTGAAAGGAGCACTGGGGAGAGAGGGACCTTGGAAAAGTTGGAATGAAGCAGGGAGACCAATAAGGAGGCTGCTGTGGTGTTCTAGGCAAGAGATAATGACACCTGACTGGTCCTGATGGAGTGGCCGATGCAGAGATGGAGAAAAGCGAGCAGTTTTGTTTGTATTTTGAAGATTTGGGTGGATTAAACTGAGTAATGAGGAAAAGAGAATTGTCAAGGATAACCTTGAAGTTCCTGGCCTAAACAAGCAGCAGACTGATGCTGCCCTTTACTGACGACAAGAGGAGCAGGCTGGAGCAACAAAACAGAAACGTCTTTGTCCGTGCCCTCAGCCCTTAGGAATTGCAGAGCGTGTTGTTAGCCGTCTTCCGGTGGAATGTTCCCTGAGTTGAAGGTTCTCATGACTTACTAATGGCACTCCCCTCTCCACGAGAATGCCACCTGAAGCCCTGAGTGAGAATTTGGGAGACAGCGAACTGAGTCTTATCTTTGGATAACTGGGGTCATAGGAGAGCTCTGTTCCCAGCAGGTTCCATTCCCCCTGTAGCGGTAGCTACAGACTCTTCCTGGTTCTAAAGACTTGGCGTTCCATGCGTCCTTCCTTTGGCCCTGGTCACCGACGCAGGGTTTCTGACTTGAGGCTAATGTGCACTAGGAGTCCTCCCTGTCAGAAGCCATGCTTGCTGGTACCAAAGACTGTTCCAGTTTTTCCCCAAAGAAGCCAGCAGTCACTGACTCCCTGTGCACTGGTGCACAGTGCTGGGGGAGGGGGACTTTGAACCTCTGCCTTCAAGTTTCTTATACCCTGTTGTCTTGGTCTGGGTTCTTTGGTTTTCTTTTACAGACTAGACCTAAAGGATCCACTCTGGTCAAATCACAAACTGAAAACTTTTGCTAGATTTCATCTTAAAACACAAACAGAGTTCTTTGCAGAACTAAAGGCAAAATAACGCTTTTCTGAAATCACTAAAAATGTTCAGCATTTCCTAAGTTAAGCCCAATGGGATACATTTTTTTTCTAAAGATAATTGACTTCTACTTTTACAGTATCCCAACAACAGCCGTGATTAAAATCAACACACAGAGTTCTGTGTGTTTGCTGCTGGGTAGCATAAGCCTCGACATTAATTAAACAGAAACAGTTTTGAGAGCCAAGCATTTCCTGGGGATCAATAACTATCTAGAAGGACCTGGTAATACAAGACGCAGCCAGACACTAGTCCTCAGGATGGACCTTGTTGCTGCTGTCATTTTTATGGGGAGGGAAGATATGTTGACTAATTATACATTTTTAGCACACAGTAAAGCCGGAGTTGGTAGAGGCAGCGTGTTCCCAGCAATGTCATGGTCAGGCACATTTCAGCTTACCATTTGCTTATGACCTGTCACCAGAGTTAAGCCTTTTGATCTCCACTCTTTAGGCAAAGACTGACCTTGATGGATGAATTGTCTCTGTATTTTATATTCATTCTGACATTCTTGGAATTTTATATTTAAACTGTTAGGCTAGGGCAATTCTCAAAATGTGGTCTGGAGTCACTGGCACTTTTCAGGGGTACATAAACCAAAATTATTTACAAGGCAACACTTCAGGCCATTTCAGCCTTCTTCCTCAGGACTAGACAGGGAATTCCAGATACGGCATCCCATGTGCTGTCGTGGCCGTTTACCGCTCACTTGTGTTCTGGAGTTGTTCTGTTTCAGTGTGCTGTTGCTAGAACTTCTGAGAGTCTATAATTAACTCAGAATTCCTCAATGATTTGCAGTACATAAAAATCCCAATACTTGGGCTGGAGAGATGGCTGCTCTTCCAGAGGACCTGGGTTCATTTCCCAGCACCCACATGACAGCTCACAACTGTCTGTAATTCCAATTCCAGGGGATCTGACAACCTCACAAAGACATACATGCAGGCAAAACACCAGTGCACATTAGAATAAAAATAAATTATAAAAAAAAAGAAAGAAATTCTACCACTCAAACACTAGATACTGCTGCTGTAGTATATGTAAATATGAAATTTGAAAGATGGGGCTGGAAAGATCCTTGTGTAAGTGCACATGCACACACATACACAAAGGGAGTTTCCTGCAGAGGGAAGCTACAACTGGAAGATGCACTCCCTCAGTGGTGTGGTGGTGGAGGGACTGGGCCTCACTTCCTGTCTTGCTGCTTACTCTGCAGTTCTGTGGTGGGCTTTCTAGCAGAATACCGCAGGTGTCTTAAAGCAGTCTGCTGGCACTGACTCGTTATGTCCTCCAGCTTGTGCCCTGGCTTTCCCTTCCCTGTCATCCTCATCCATGTGTTGATTCGCATCCAGACAAGTTGCGCATTGACTTGCTGAAACACACCTCTTTAAAAGCTCTTGTTTTATTTTCCCTGTGTTCTTTCCTCTGGATTTTAAATAGATCTGTGTTGTTGTGTTTTGATGGTGTGTTCTGTTCTGAGGGCTCCAGAAGCACCTGAGCCCCGGAACTATCACAAAGGGGGTAGTAGAGTGGACTGGGGCTGCCTATCTTTTTCATCTAGTGAAATATTTTATGGGGAAGAATAAAGCCTCCTGCTGGATGATGGTCTGTTGAGCAGCAAATGCCAAATGCTAGTTCTACAGAGCATTATCGGCTGCTACTGTGGCTCCTCCAGTTCCACATGTTAGAAGCTTCGATAAGTTGTCCGCTCCTGGCTTGGGCTTTTCACTTTTGAACATTCACTATACTTTCCCGTTTCCAAATTCTTCTCAAATTCCCTCAAATAATAGATAATAAATGCTGCTCCTCTCATAGTGTGGATCTCTGGTTTGTGGATCTCTGGTCTGTGAGTTGGATTCTTGGCATTGGAAGTGCCAACCTGTTACCTAAGCCATTGATTTTGGCCCAAGCAACTGAAGATCTTTGCTGTAAACTCCAATTTATAAGGTTAAATTCTCAATCTAAATTTGTAAGTTTAAAGAAAGCCCTTCATGTTTAAATTTCAAGTTAAATTGCCACCCCAGAAACTGAGATTTGTGGAGCAGTTGGAAGTTTGTGCTATTGGCGACTCCTTTCCCAACACTAGCTTGTTGGAGGGCCGTCTCTGGGCCGTCCGCTCGCTGTTGAAAACACTGAGTGTAGTCACGGTGTACAAGGTACCGTGGCGGGCTCACCTTCTCCCTTGTCTTTCTTACCTTTCCTCCCCGTCTCCTAGGGTGACATCCACGAGGATTTTTGCAGTGTTTGCAGAAAGAGTGGCCAGTTGCTGATGTGTGACACGTGTTCGCGTGTGTATCATCTGGATTGCTTAGACCCTCCTCTGAAAACAATTCCCAAGGGCATGTGGATCTGCCCCAGATGTCAGGACCAGGTACTGGGGGTGGGCCACATGGATGAGGGACCTAGGAAGAGAAAGACAATGCCTTGGAAATTCCTTTCTCTCCCATCCTGGGGAATAAGCTTTTCTCAGTCATTGTTCTATAGGCCCCATCCTCCTGGTTCATGGCACAGCATGCAGACACAGCATGCATGTGTCACTTCTTTCTATGAGGAATGACTCATTTTCCCTTTTGAAGCGCAGACCCTCAGTCCCTCATACTGGCACATGCCTATAATCCCAGCACTTGAAGAGCTGAGCCAAGAGCTTGACAAGTTCAAGGCCAGCCTGAGCTACATAGTGAGACTACCACAAAAAAGAAAAAAAAAAAAAGTTAAGATGCATAAAAGCTCCTTCTGGGCCGGATCTGGTTGTGCACACCTTAAATCCCAGCAATCAGGAAGCTAAGACTGGTGGATCGCTGAGTTTGAGGCCAGTCTGGTGTACATAATGAGTTCCAGTCAAGCCAGGGCTACGAAGGGAAATACTGTATCAAAAACACTAAAATAACATAAATCAATAAAGCCTGATTTGAGATCATTTTTTAAATTTTCCCCTTTTTTTTTTTTTTGTTCTGTAACACCAGGACCCAAACCCAGGGCCTTGTGAATGCTACTTAAGCTCTCTACTGTTGAGAGCTGCATCTTAAGTCCATAGTGCATTGAGAGGATCTCTCTGTAGCCCAGGCTGGCATCAAACTTGGGGGTCTCCTGACTTGGCTTCCTAAGTGCTGGCCTACAGCTGTGACCTCATCCCATCACCTGCCTCTGGTGTCGTCTGGGTGCCCTTCACCTGCTTTCCTGTCATGTGCCCTTCCTGACAGTTGCCTACACAGGGGCTAGAGTATAGATTTAGAACTGTATTTAACTTCCTTGGAGTTTTTGAGGGAGATAACAAAACTAAATTTGAAACAGGCAGCCTGTGTCTAATCATAGGCAAGATTGCCTGAGGTGACTACCATCATGCTAGGTGATGGCTAGCTCTGCACTGCTGCTTCTAGCTGTAGAAAGTGGTTGGAGTTAGACGGCCATTGTTTGCTTGATTGAATGGATGCTTTTATTTTTGCCTTCATTTTGAGACAGGATCACACTGTGTAACCCTGGCTGACCTGGAACTCTCTGTAGACCAGGCTGGCCTCAAACTCACAAAGATCCACCTGCATCTGCCTCCCCAAGTGCTGAGATTTAAGTTGTGCTCCACCATGCCCAGCTCATGTGGCACTTTTTATATTTTTATGTATTTGTTTTATGTGCATCTGTGTTTTAACTGCTTGTATATCTATGTACCTTGTAATATGCCTAGTGTTCTATGCCCTCAAAGCCTAAAAGAGAATATCAGATATCCTGGGACTGGAGTTATAGACAGTTGTGAGCTGCCATGTGGGTGCTGGGATTTGAACCCTGTACATCTGGAAGAATAGCTAGTGCTCTTAACCACTTAACCATATCTCCAGCCCCTCATGTGGCTTTTCTGAAGACACAGGGATGCTTCCAAGTCTCTACCTCTATCTGTAGTCTGATTTTGGGTGATGCGGCCACAAGCCTCCCTAGATCTTCAGCCACAGACACTGGTGTTTGCTGTGACCTTGGTTCTCAAGATAGAATTCTAAATTCTTTTCAGATGCTGAAGAAGGAAGAAGCAATTCCATGGCCTGGAACTTTAGCCATTGTTCATTCCTATATTGCCTACAAAGCAGGTAAGGTCCGCCTTTTCAGAAGAAAATTCCACTAGAAGGTGAGGTTGATTTTGTTTTCAAAGGAAAATGAGAATGTGTTATTGAATGGAGTTGAAAGTGTGTGGACCACCTTTTGAGATGGGAGCTGTGAAGGGTGGCACCTTACCCATGTAAAGCCTGGCCCAAGCCCCCAAGGCCAGCACACCGGAAGAAGAAAAGTCCAGGTGGTCAGGTGCCGTGTCCTGGCCGTGTCCTGGCCGTTTGGCTGAGGGGCACTTTAGAGCGGCTGTCTTTGGTGAACGTCCTGACCCAGGTAAGCCTTGCAAAGAATCAATCACTTAAAACTTCCTTTCTCCCCAGCAAAAGAAGAGGAGAAACAGAAGCTCCTTAAGTGGAGTTCAGACTTGAAACAGGAGCGAGAGCAGCTGGAGCAGAAGGTGAAGGAGCTCAGCAGTTCCATCAGTGTAAGCACCTTCCTTTCTCAGCGCTGGGCGCGGGGTGGGCTCCAGGCCTGGCGTGGACGGCCTGGCTGTGGGTGTGAGCGACCGGGGTAGCCGGAGTCTGCCTTGGGAGTCAGTGTGCGGTGCTCAGGAGCCATGGCCATGGGACACGTAGATACCTTACCAAGCTCGGAGCGTCCTTGTGGCTGCTCTCTGGGAGGGTGTTCAGTCTCGGGGGCAGAGATTGAGTAGCACCACTCAGTGCCTGTGCAGTTTTGCGTGCTTGGAGGAGCCTAGAGCCTCTCCTGACCCTGGGCAGACCCAGGCCCGTGAGTGACTCTTACAGAGACCTAATTTACTGGACTAAGAGAAGGACTACCAGCTGGTAACCGACCAAGAGGGCCTGGTTCACTGACTGGAGTCCTTTGCCTTGACCTCAGGTCTCCTAAACATTACTGGTCCACCCAGGCCCTTACCTCTAAATTATGAGTGAGTAAGCGGTCCTCCACAGACCCTCCAGTCAAATTCCCTGCATCTCTCACTGGCTTTTTAATCCCTGTCACCACGCCCTAGCTTCAGGGCGGCTTTTTTGGTGCTAGTATCCGACAGAGTTGGCTTTCACCCTGTCCACTGGCTCCAGCCTTTGTGTCTTCCTTCTTTGCTGGTGTCTGCCCATGCCAGGTGGGACAGCACAGTTGTGGGGCGCACAGCAGTGCCCAGGGCTTGGTTTATGGGGCATTTTCCTCCGGGGCTCACCCTTGTGACTTGCTGCAGAAATGTATGGAGATGAAGAATACCATCTTGGCACGGCAGAAGGAGATGCGCAGCTCCCTGGACAAGGTGAAACAACTCATCCGCCTCATCCATGGCATCGACCTCTCTAAACCTGTAGACTCTGAGGCCACTGTGGGGGCCCTCTCCAACGGCCCAGACTGCACCCCCCCTACCAACGCCGCCTCCACACCCGCCCCCTCCCCGTCCTCTCAGAGCTGCACAGCGAACTGTAGCCAGGCGGAAGAGACTAAATAACAGAGCCCTCGAGGAGACGCCACAGTCCCAGTGGCGAGGAGACTCTAGAGAAGCAAAGCCGGATTTCTTCTGGAAAGGACAGAATTCTTTTGGTTCTTTGGTTCCAGAGAGAGAGAAGATGCTTGTGCCAGTGGCACCCGAGTTTGCCAATTGATTCTTCTTATTCTGTGTGTACATGCAAAGATTGGACCATGTTACATGAAATAGTGCCAGCTGGAGGTTCTTTGCCAGCACCATGCCAAGTGAAATAATATATTTACTCTCTCTATTATACACCAGTGTGTGCCTGCAGCAGCCTCCACAGCCACGGTGGGTTTGTTTTGTTCTGTTGGGTGGGGAGCAGGGGCGGGCGGAGGGAGGAGAGCAGGTTTCAGATCCTTACTGGGAGCCGTTTGTTTAGGTAGAAAAGACAAGTCCAAAGAGTGTGTGGGCTTTCCTGTTCCTAAACTTTCACTACCATAAAACCAAAAAAAAAAAAAGAAAAAAAAGAAAAAAAGGAAATAGAGGTTTAACTAACCCAGTGCCCAGAGGAGGGCCGGGAAGGCTGGGGGGGAGCCAGGGTGGGAAAGTATATGACATAAGCAGTATTTAATGTTCCTGGAGGGGGGTAGTGCCGGGAGAGCCCAAGTCCCCTCCCCAGCTCCGCCCTCCCAGGCCTCCAGCAGCCCTGCCTTCCCTCCGCTTGGGCAGTGCACAGCCCCAGGGGTCCCCAGGCTGGGAAGCAGGGAAGGGAAGGTGTGTGGTCCAGGAGGGAGAAAGGCGGATCAGAGGTTTTACTTGAAAACAGGCTCCATCCTTTTTCTATATTTATAAGAAGAGAAGGTTCTGAGCAGAGCAGCATGACCCAGGTGGGGCACGATCAGGCGTGTGTGAATGGAGACGACCCTTTTCTCTTCTTCAAGTTTATTTTTTTGTTTCTGTTCTTGTTTAAACAACGTTTTATTTCATTCTTTACCTTTTTTGTTTTTGTTTTTTGTTTTGTTTTTTGTAACAAGAACTAAACTAAGGAATAGAAAAGCTGTTTTCAGGCTGACGGTCCTGTTAAGGGTAGTGAGACCTTGCATGGTAGACTAGGCGTTATAGTGTCAGTGAGGTCAGTGAGTCTTTGTGCGTCCTGTGTCATCGTTTGGGCACTATTTGTTTTTGTTTTGTTTTTGTTTTGTTTTTTGGTGTTTTTTTGTTTTGTTTTGTTTTTTTAATGCAAGGGCAAAAAAAAATCTTTGTACCTGGGGAAAACAACAGCAACTTTCTTTTTTTAATTAAAAAGGAAAATAAAATAAAAGATATTGAGGTCTTCCTAGTGTTACTTAAATTAAGATCAAGGTAAGAAACATTGTAAAAAAAAAATTACAAAAGTGCTATTTGTTTCCTAAAAACGGTGATTTATATTAAAAAGGTGTCAGAACTGGAGAAAATGCCGTGTAGTTATACTTTTTTAGCACAGAACCTGCTGATCACGATGACATTTTGCTGTGTTTGTGCCTCTAGACTGGTGGGCCAATGTTCAGAATGGCAGGTCCTCCCACCTCCTCCCTCCTCAGACTGTGCTGTCTTTTTGGTACAGGGATCGCATCTCCTGTTTTAAGCCAAAATGGAGTGTGCGTGGTGGGGTCTCCCCACGGTCTCAGACCTTGCTGGAGTGCAGGCTGGTGCCCACCTAAGACCTTCCTTTGGTGCTGCTCTCAGTCTCTCAGCCACCAGCGTTATGTACGCCTCAGGGGCACCTTGGGGGGAGTGACCAGTGAGGTGCCTCTGGGGGTGGGGTGGGGTGCAGGCTGGCTGCATCAGAACTAAGGAAGGAGATCCCTTGAGGGTCCCTATGTCTCTGAGAGCCCAGGTGACCTTCAAGTCCATCTTGCACTGAAGAGAGAGGTCTGAAGCTCCAGCTGTCCTCTGCCTCCTGGCACCGGGGTCAGAATTCACTCCCATTCCACCCACCCACATGCTTCCTGGGTGTCCCTGGGCTAGAATCCACTATGCTTGCCTTGCTTGGCCTGTTGTGGCCTTTTCTTCTTGGAAAACTGGGCTTCTAAAAGGCTCTCTAGCCATCTCCCCTACAATACCATGGGGAAAGTCAACTATGAGATGCATGCTCCCACTGGAAACCTTTGGCCATTGCATGGCCTTGAGTGGAGGGACAGAGACCTAGGCTCTGCCGTCAGCTCCACAGCAGCATCTCTCTGGAGCCAACCAGGCCCCCAGGGCTAGGAATAGCAGGAAAGGCCCTTTTGCTTCTTCCTTGCCCAGTTAGGTCCAGGGAGAAAGAGCTGGAACCTGACAGTACCTCCAGCAGAGAAGGGTGCTTCTGAGAGTGAGCAAGGCCCGTCCACACCAGCCGTCCATTCCTCTCCCAAGCATTTGAGAAGAGGGCATGTAGTTTGGCCATACAGGCCTCTGACTTCGGGTTGACTGAGGGGAGCAGAAAAGAGCCCTCTTTTCTTCTTCAGAGACCAAGGTGCTAAGTCTAGTTCGTGAGCTTTGGAGAAGCCCGGACTAGTCGGAGGAATCTTTGGCAGAGGATCAGAGAGACCCGCAGCAGGCCGATGCCCCGTCTTGGCTCCCTCAGCCTCCCAGCCCCCATTGGACTTGTCTGGGCCCATAGGCTGGGGCTTGGCACACCGTGCCTCCCTGTGATGGAAAGCGGTTGAGAAACCAATCACTACAGGCCTTTGCCCCAGAAGAGCTGCTTGCTGGTGACCATGCAGGAGCCGGGCAGCGTAGAGTCCCTTCTTCTGATGTTTGGAAACGAGCTGTTTGAGTCGACTGGAGCGGAGTAAAAAATGTAGCCCTGCTCCAGGCCTTCAGCACAGAGCTCCTGGTCCCCTTAGCCCTGCGAGTACCTGTGACCATGTGGGGCACACAGGCCGCTCCTCCTGAGCTGCCCCCACCGCCCCGTCTTCCCTCCCCCGCTGCAGTCTGTTGCTCTTGCAGTCCCATGTGTGAGGCACCCTGGCTCGGCAGTTGCTTTGGAGGGCCTTGGACTGGGAGTCCCCTGGGCCCCCAGATCAGGTTGGCAGATGCAGGCTGTAAAGGCAGGGAGGCCAGCACCATCCTCTCGTCTTTCTCACTTGAAGGGGCCTTTCTCTCTCTGAATCCACAGTCTTGCCTGCCTCTGCTGACTCCACCAGTTCTCATCTCCTCCTTCCTTATCTGCCTGCTGACGGCACCCTTCAGGGAGGACTCAGCTAGGGACAGTCCCTGGATGGCGCTACCTGTGTGGGGCCTGTCTCTGGAGCCGGTGACAGCCACCAGGCAGCCTCCAGAGGGCCCCTGTCTTGGTGATTGGTATGCTCTAGGGCCCCCTCTCCTGCTGCTGCTGCTGCTTCCTGTCTGAAGCCCAACAGGCAGTGCTAAGGGTCCATGTGTACCCAGCACTGACCCAGGGTTCCCAGCTGTCCGTCTGCATGTACAGCTGCCTCTCCACCACCTCATGATGCTTCCTCTTGGGGCTTCTGGAGCCTTCTTGACCCACCACCACCACCACCACCACCCCGGCTCACACTTCAAGTGGTCTCTTCCCATGAGGTCCTTCTTGGATATGGACCTTACCTAACTAAAGGGCTGAACTCTTGAGGACACTCCTCCCAGGGGCAGGAGTAGGAGGGACCGGTGGCCCTTTTCCAGACACTGGCTTCTCCAGAGCCCATGGCTTCTGTTGAAGGCAGGCTACTTTGCTGTGTAAATGACTGTGGACCTTGTCCCGCCCCTCATCTGAGCACCCTTGGCAGAAAACGGGAGTCTCCTTTCTCATCCTGCCTTCCGTCTATGCTCCTGTCAGCTCCTCCCCAAGGAGATGGGTGACCCCCGGGAAGATTCCGCTGGCCCTCCCCAAGGAATGAAGAGTCCTGAGAGCCAGGGTGGCACTCTTTAGCAGTTCCACATGGCAGCCTTGGCCCCTGCACCCCTCTCCAGTGTCCTCGCTCTTAGCCCAGGGTGAGTGGCAGTCAGGTGGGTGGGCTGAGCAGACCAGAAGTCAGCGAGCTCCTAGGTAAGAGCCAGACCTGTGCTGTCTGTGTCCATGCCCTTTGTGATTTCAGTCTTGGTAGAATTTGTATTTGGAGTTTTGTGCTTCAAACTTTCTGTTTTGTTTGTTTGGTTTTTGTTTGGAGGGGGTGGGGGGGTACAGAGCAGCCGATCAATTTGTATTTATTTATTTTAACATTTTACTAAATAAAGCCAAATAAAGCCTCTCAGCCTCTTGGTGTTGCGTTTGGGGCCAGGGTGGGAAAGTGTGGGTTAGATACTGCATCTCTGGTTTGTGGCCCTTGAGGGTTCAGACTGTCCTGGGACTCTAGCTGGAATCCACTCCCACTGCCCACTGATGCCCTCGGACCCTAAGAGTCCTGGGTTCCCCAGCCAGAGGACAAAAAGTGGTCTTTAAATCTTTGCTGTGGGGCGAGAGAAATGGCTGAGGACTTAAGACCTGGCTTTGGTTCCCAGCACTCACATGGTGACTCACAACTACCTGTAACTCCAGTTCCAGGGACCTAGAGCCCTCTTGCACATACGTACATATATACAGGCAAAACACTCACACATAAAATGAAAAATTTTTAATTTTTTTATTATGAAAAGGGATTGGGGGAAGTAGCCCCAAACCAGCTGGGGCAAAGAAGGGCTGGACCCCAACAGGGAAACCAGCCAGGAACCCCGCAGATGCTCCACCCCAGCCCCTCTGACAAAAACCTTAAATAATTTAAATAGCAGTAAGGGTGGGCACCCACCAGGGTCCTCCAGTGTCTTCCGGGAGTGTGTGTGTGAGAGAGAGAGCCTTGGCCAGGGGCAGCTTGGCAAGCTCAGGCCCGGCTTTGGGACTGCTGCAGGGCAGTGAGGTATTTCAGGGCTGCAGCCCCATAGCGCCGTGATAAGTCCTGGTGGAACTCCTCCTTGAGAGCCTGGAGACAGTCCCGATAGGCGGGGCTGGAGCGGAAGCGGGAGATGTCCAGACTTGGAGCATGGGGCAAGTGGATGGAGAAGGCCTCGGGCAGCACCAGGAGTTCATATTCCTGTAAGAACGGGAACAGACGCCGGGCCAGGGCTGAACTAGGGAGGAGCAAGTGAGGGCTGAAGTGCAAGCTTGTGCCATGGCCCCCCAGGAAGGGGGCAGAGCACAGCCAGGGCAATAAGGTACCCTCCTCACCTGAGCATCCAGCTCTATGATGTGGGCCACCTTGTTCCAGCCAAAGCCCACAAAGCGAGGATCGTATCGGGGACAGTCACGAGGCACCACCACGTAGGGCTCATAGTCAGCTGCCCACTGCACCTGGTATGGTGCCTGGGCCTCCCGCCAGTGGGCATAGGCTGTGGGCGCATGACCCTGTGGCCATTCATGGTACCTGCATAACAGATGGGGTGGGAACAGGGCTGAGGCTAGGAGTCTGTGAGCTCATGGGGGGGGGCGGGGAGGGGCAGCATGGGATCAGTGGGGCAGAACACGGTCTCTCTGACCTAAAGATGTGGAGAGAGCCTGCATCCAGCAAGGTCAACAGCTCTGCCTTGGAGTTGGGGAAGCTGAAGCGGTAGTGCAGGGTCTCAAAGGCAGGCACCACCAAAGCAGCCTTCCGCGGCCGACTGCCCAGCTCCAGCTGCTCAATAGAGGCCCTGGGGAGGGGCATGTGAGAAGGAGTACTCAGCCCATGGGGCACCCCCCTGCTGAGCCACAGCCGCCTCGGCCTTCCAGGTAGCCAGTGCGGCTGTTTCAGATAGCCTTGCCACACAGAACTGCTGTTTGAAGTAAGGCATTGCTTCCCTGACTCAGTGGTGGCCCAAAGAAATCGCCTAAGACAAGCCCCGTTTTGCAGAAGCCATTGAGCCCCAGAAAGAAACGGACACGGCAACCTGGGGTTCCCAAGATACCCTGACCCCGACGGTGTATACCCCAAATGCTGCCCCTCTCCTGCCCTCCAGGCCCACCTGAGGTAGTCATAGAGGGAGTAGGCAGGTAAGAAGTCGATGTCACTGAGGAAGACGTAGGGCGTGAGAGCCTGGGCCAAGGCCACGTTGCGGAGCTGGTTGACTGGATAGAGGGGACCGTCCCGGTACACTATATGGTAGGCTACATCCTTCCTCGCAGAGAGCACTGGCGAAGTTTCCACGAAATGCAGGAACTGCTGAGCATCTGCATCTGTCAGGTACAAGGCCAGGCTCATGGGGCCTGACCAGTGCCTGCACAGGGCTTCCAGCATCTGCAGCCTGGGGTGAGGTGGGTGGTCAGCCCTGCTCGGGCCCCTTGAGCACAGAAGCCCAGGATGGCTAGAAATCCTCCCCAAAGTTAGCCGCTGCAGAGCCCCATCCCTTTGTGACTAAGCACCTTACAATCACACAGCTGGTCTCTTTTCATCCTTACAACTACCCCCCAGGGTTGCATCCACATCTGATGGACCAGCAAACTAAAAGCCTGAAATGTTGAGGCTTATTCATGGCCCCCCAGCACCCCAGGGGCAGTTCTAGGCATCAAAAAGACTTCCAAAGCCCAAGCTTTTCCCATCATATCCAATGTCTCCAACTCCTGGGACTCTTCCAGGGACCAGCAGCTCCCTACCACACCATCAGGCTACCAGATAAAATAGTTCTCTCAAATCCCATCTCAGCCTATGCCATGCTACCGGGGGCTGCCCTCCACACCCTCACCGGTCCATAGAGAGCTGGGCCACCAAGGTGACATCGTGAGGCCGGGGAGGTGGCGGCTGGTGGGGCAGGAAGGTGATATGCACACGATGTACAGTGAGCTGCTGTTGCCGGAATTCAAAGCAGGGCTCTTCCTCATCCAGCTGTGCCAGGGCCTGTTGCAACTGAGCAGGGTCCAGGGAAAGAAAGAATGGGGCTGGCCCAGGACAACGGGCCCTCCAGCCAAGGCCCACCTGAGTCCAGAGCGGCAAAACCTCCCAAAGGCAAGGTAGTGTGGCCCCCCTTACCTGCTCAGCCCCAGGAGGGAGCTGGTTGGGGCAGCCAAAGAGCTCTCTCCGCAGCAGTTTCCCATCATACCCCAGGAAGGTCAAGTGCAGGTTTCGGAAGAATTCTGCATGCTTGTTCTTCACTCGGAGCTTCTTTGGGGAATTCCAGTGGATCACCTGGGCTCCGGGAGGTATCGGCAGGGATTTAGACCAGGGAGTGAATAACAGTCCCCTATCCTGCAGGCTCCACTCACCTTGAGGTCGGCTGCCTCCAAGTAGCAGCGCTCAGCCAGTGTGTGGTCCGACAGCTGCACATTCCAGACACAGGGCAGGGGATGCACCAGCTCGGGATGCTCCTTGATGACAGCATTGAAGACATCCTAGGCAGTGACAGACATCACGTCTCAGCCCCCAGCCTGCCCCTCGGTTCTGCTCCCACAAAGAGTCCTCCAGACCTGGTCAGCCAGGGACGTGGCCGTCAGAGTAAGGAGCTCCCGTTTGGCCATCAAGGTCCACATCTGCTCCCAGCCAGTTTGCCGAAGTCTGTCCAGCCACAGCAGGATCACACCTGTCAACAGGGAGAGAGGTTGCCATGCCCACCAGGGACATCCAGATCCCGGATCTTTTGAAATGTTTGTTTTGTGGTACATTCAAGACAATCGCTCTACCACTGAATTGCACCTACAGCTCCTTTTCAAATTTGAGTTTGAGGGACTGTAGAGATGGACTCATATTTAAGAATACGTGAGGCCCTTGCAGAGGACCCAGCTTCACTGACCAGAACCCACGTGGTGACTCACAACCCTCGGAACTCCAACTTCAGAGGATTCAACACCTTCTCCTAGCCTCCGCTGGTACCAGACTGCATGCAGTGCACACACACACATGCAGAAAAAACTTTCATAGACATAAAACAAATTTCCAAAAACAACTATTATGTTGAAATAGGGTCTCACTAAGCTTCTCAGGCTGGCCTCACACTTGCAATCTTCCTGCCTCAGCCTCCCAAGAAACCGGGGTTACCAGCAGCAACAAGCAACGTCACACCAGGCTGCAAGATGTTAATTGGAGGTCAGTCAGGTGTCACCTAATGGTGTGTTGGTCAACAATATAAAGCACACACTATGGTGACACATAATTATATGAAATGAAAACAACAGACACCACCACACCAGGCTGCCAGGTGTTAACTGGTACAGGTGCTTTGGTCGACAATATAAAGCATACACCACGGATAGTACGTGATTATATGAGGTAAAAAGTCACCACCTGAGGCTGGGTATATGGCTCAATTGTAGTGCTTGTCCATCACTCATAAAGCCGTGGCTTATGCCTCAATATGGCATAAACCAAGTAGCACATATCTGTAATCCCAGCACCAGGGAACTAGAGGCAGGAGGATCAGAAGTTCAAGGTCATCCTCAGAGTGCAAAGCCAGACTGAGTCCTTGTCAAACCAACCAACCAACCTACAACCTAGTATTTTTCCCATGCCTCTTCCATTTTCAGCTACACAAATACTTGCCATTGTATTACAGTTGCCTGCCTGTCAGTGAACACTCAATTCAGTAGCATGCCTGTTGCTCCCAGACCACACCACAGCCTAGAGAAGAGTGGGCTACTCCATCTGGGTGTGTGTAAACACAGCCTCTGCTGTTTGTACGGCAGTCAAACTGCCTAATGGCAAATCTCTCCGAACATGCCCCAGTTGTTAATACGGAACTATATTTTCTGAGGTTCAGACATAATCACCCATAATTCCCTTGGGTAGAGGGGAAGAGAAGGGCCCTCCCCAGCTGTCCTCTCACAGTTGCTAATGGCAGGACTCTTCCCATGAAGTAGATGTGAAAACGGGGTCTTAAAGGAAATGATGAGATGGCCACAGCCATTTGGTCCAAACATGCAAAGTGGGAGAGTTCTCTCCATCCCCAGCCCCTTCCACAACGCTGCCAGAGTTTCTTGGGGGCTTCCTAGCATTCTGTGCCCATCCCACCACTGAGGCCCGGCTGCCCACCCCATCCTGCCTCCCTCACCACTGTGCCCACCTGTGTTAAATCCCCTGCCCAAGGCAGGCCAGGGCCTATGGTTCTTCCAGAGGTTGCCCAGGTACCAGTCGCTCTGGTTCTCCACGAGACCGACCACCTGCTTGTCTGGGAGGGGAGGGCAGGAGGGAGCTGCCTGGAGATGTGGGCTCCGGGCTAGCCCACAGCAGGAACCTGGGTAAGCCGGGGAGGGGGCAGGCCAGGGCAGAGTTGCAGGTGTCTCACCAGAAAAGTGAGCAAAGAGTGCCCATAGCTCCGCAATGTCAGAGGAGAAGGTGACATCGGTGTCCAGGACAATGACTCGAGCCAGGCTGAGAGGCAGGATGCTGGGAAGTACTAGCTTCATTAGCCCATAGAGGCCAGAGTAGTGCGTGTTGGGGATCCAGGAGATCAGGGGCTGGGGGGAGGGGAGAGGATGCCAAGTGGCACAGTGGAAAGCAGCCACGACCCCCCAAAAAGGTGAAAGATTTGGGCTCCAGGAGGTTTGGCAGGACACAGTCTCTCCCCTCCCACCACCCACTGCTGGGGGTAAGTAAGGAGAGGATGGGCCTAGCTAGGCAGGAGCGCATGGGGAGGTGGGGGGGAGGGGGAGACACCACACGGGACTCCTGCCTTGAGCTCTTCAGCGTCATAGAATCTGATCACCAGAGCCGGCACCATCCATGTCCGGAAGAGCGTCTCCAGGATGTTTCTGGCTACAGCATCCGTTACCAGGTGGAGGTGCAGCGGATTTTTCCTTTTGGGTGGAAAGAGCCTGGCATGGCTGTGCAGGAATAGAGAGGCCCTATCTCCTACAAGGAGCTCTTGCGGATGTTCCGATGTCCCCACCCCCCGCCCCCGCCCCCCTTCCTAAGAAGAGGACTTCAGTTTCCTCGGTACAGTTGAGGAAACGAACCCAGACCAGTGGTGCGTGGCGGGCGGGTTCCTGATCCTCATCCAGGAGACCTGTCTGTACCTGTAGAAGAGCACGGACTTCACGAGGGTGATGACCTCTCGGCTCGAGTTGTGTCCCGCACACACGATGGCCACATGCAACAGCTGGGGAGGGAACAGCTAGGTCAAGCAGCAGTCCCCAACTTCTACTGGCCGGCCCAGCCAGCCTGACCGAGAACAGTGCAGCCCCCACCTCGCATCAGAGCTGGGGAAAGGGTTGCCTAGAGGCAACGCCTGAATTTCACAAGTGGAGAAACTGGGGAGTGAAGGGGGCGTGCGTTCTAAGCGTCCTCGGATGTCCCAGCCGGGTGGCCAGATGTCATGTACTGTGATTCTCCTAGATGCCTAGATGACTGGGCTGGGGTCAGGAACCCTGGGGGGTGGCAGCCGCCAGGGGCCACGCTCACCTACCTCGCACTTGGGTGGCAGTGGAGGATGCAGGCCGGAGGCGGAGCGGTTGCGGCTCCCGTACGGGTCTCCATCGAAGGTGGCAGCTGCCCGTAGTCCGTCTGAAAGGACACGTGGCATAAGCAGGCAGAGGGCACACTGGGTCCCCACCTCGCCTGCCCAGCTCCCAGTGCTCACACTCAGGGTCTCGGCCGAACAGGAAGAAGCCAACCACCAGCAGCAGCAGCAGCAGCAGCGTGGCGGCCCCCAGTGCCCGGGGACGCCCTCGGGGCAGCATGGCTGTCTGAGGGACTCAGGGCGGGGAGCGACCCCGGGCAGCGGACTCCATCACCGACCCTGCGGACCAAAGACCAGAGGAGGAGGAGCTCTGGGCCGCGGGGCCCGTCGGCTGCTCTACCTGCCCAGGCACAGCCGTCGGCCTCACCTGCTCCAGAGGCTTGGGGAAGGCCCTGTTCCTCCTGCGACTGCGGGGTAGCGGGGACTAGGGCAGAGCCACGAGCCAGCCCCGCCCCCAACCTGGGCTCAGGTTTCACCTTTTGCTTGTCTGGGCTGGAAGGGGCGGGGAGACCCCTGGCAGGGCCCCACCCTCACCCTGCACTGGACAGCTCCGAAACTCGCCCCGAACCTACAAGCCCCTTTAAGGGAGGGCTTAAGGCCGCGGGGACAGCTATCCAGGATGGCCTTGTGCCCGCTACCTGCACCCTCCTGGCTCTGGGACCCCATTCCTCCCCCTAAGGGGAGGGACCCGTGACCCGGAGCTCAGGATCAAAGGATTGGCCCTGGCACCGCGGGAGTCCAGGGGCGGGGGATGGGAAAGGAATGTCCGGTCCAAGGATTGGAGACACCTGCTCAGGTCGGGGGACAGGGCGCTGGGCCTGCTAGGGACACCTGTAGCCTGCGCGTCCTCCCTGGCCCTTAGTCCAGGTGGCCCAGCCCGGCCCAGCAGCGACTGGAAAACACGGGCACTGCGCCCTTTTGAAGGCCACCTCCTCTCCTGCACAAGAGCTGGCAGAGAGCCTCATTGCCGCCTGGGCAGGGCCGTGGATTCCCCCGCCCTTGTCTAGAGTGTATTGATTGTGCCGGGCTCCAAGGCCTGGATCCCTTCCTCCCTCTTTTCCCCTCCAGCCCTCAGCAGGCCTCAGGCACGTCTCGGATCCTGTAGGGGTGCGGGGAGCTCTGGGTTGTGAAGGAGACCGGCCGTGGTCGGTTGAGCACGTACTGAGCGCCAGGCCCTGAGCGAAGTGTTCGCCAAGCCCCTGCTTAATTAATCCTCTCATCACCCCCGAGGACACAAGATGGGATTGTTCCCTGAAGAGTGAAAGGAACCTACGCCCTTCGGCCATTTGTTACTGCTCCCGCACAGACTCCCAGCTGTGACTAGGCCTTCCCTAAGGTCTTCCACCTCAGGACCTGGCCCTGCCCTTCCTTCCCCCGGAATGTAGGAATGTAGAACTCTCCACATCTCTTGCTATCTTCCCAGCTCAAGGGTAGCTGAGCTTGTTTGTTCTGTGGGTCGCCCCCAACACCCAATTCCAGGTGTTCAGTGTGTGTGGAAACTGGACCTGCCCTCCAAGGACTCCACTAGGCCTCACCAGGAGCTCAGGCTGGATCTTTAGCCCAAGGTCCAGCTGTATAAAATGAGGCAGACCCATAAACAACAGCCTGGGGCTGGCTCCTCCCCCTGGGTGATCAGAATGCCTTTCTCTAGGAGATGGGGATCAGCCTGTGAGCCTTTGGAGGTTGCTATGGAAACCAAAAGCTGCCCCTTGTGCATTTAGGAATTAAGTGAATCTAGTCCTCTAAGCTGAGACCCCATTTGAGCCAGCCCTGCCCAGGACTTTACTTTGTGATCTTGGACCTGTCCAGCACCCTCTCTGGGTCTCTGGTGTCCTCATCTGTGCCTGTCCAACTGGTCTTTCTTCCTCTGTGACTTGGGACAGACTGAAGGAGGAAGGATCCAGCCCAATTTATCCAGAGGGCTTTGCAGCCCAGCCCTGAGGCCAGGTCCAGGCAGGAATCCAGCAGGGAGGAGCCTCCTTCCCGTCTGCCCAGCCTGCACACACCTCTGCTCTTTGTCTCCGAGCCTAATCAGGCTCCTGATCTAGAGAGGAAGTTCAGGCAGCCCTGCTGCAGACAGCCTGGCTGGGTCCAGTGCCCTGTACTGGAGAGAAAAACCCTTCACTGTCTGGATGTGGAGGGGAGGTGGGATTCCACTCTGTCCTCCAGGCCTCTCCTTCCTCCCCAGAACAAAAGGCCATCTGGTGAAATCTTGCACACATGTACTTGTCCACATGTACACACAAGTACAAACACACACACCCTCACTCCAGCTGCAGAGAGAGGAACGGCCCAAAAGGCAGTCAAGTCATTGAGTTCCTGAGCCTAGATCTTAGCCACGCCTGCCTCATCATGTCATGGCTCATGCTGGCTTAGAGAATACTCCCCAGGGCCCTTTGGTCAGGGCCTTGCTATGCTATCTGGGACAAGCAGTTGGGCCTCATCTGTGGACAAGAGTCCCCACTAATCTGATGAGGTTGATGTATTAGTTACTTTGCTCGTGGCTGTGACAAAATGAATACCTCGGCGAAGCAAGCGTAAGGGGAAATTTATTTTGGTTCACAATTTGAGGGTGTCATCCACCATGGTGGGGCAGCTGTGGTTTCAGAAGCCTGCAGTAGCCGGCCATGTTGTATCCTCAATCAGGAGACAGGGAAAGATGCTCGTTAATGCCCAGCTTGCTTTCTCTTTTATTCAGCTCAGGACTCTAACCCACGGAACAAGGAGACAAACATCTAGGCAGAGTCCTCTGGGCTGGAGGCACACCCATGGACCCACTCAGAGGTATGTTTCTACAGTGATTCCAAACCCACCAAGTGGACAATGGAGACTGAACCATCACAATTGCCAATAGGAGGAGGAGTGCATTGTGGCACTTGGGAAGGGTGAGGAATGACTTCCACGGTGCCCATACCATAGACTCTTCTGAGGTTCGAGCACCTCTCCCTGAATCTTTGTTTGCAGGAATGGCATGAGTGTGGCTGGCAACAATAGGATCATGGCTCCACACAGACAAGAAAGGGAAGGGAGTGAGAGTGTATTGTGGCTTCCTGGTGAGTGTGGTGTCGAAAATGCCCTGGCTCTGGCTCAGACTAAAGCAGAATTCCAATCATGCCTAGACACAGCAGGCATGACTTTAAAATAATAAAATAATTTAAATTTAATTTTTAAAACAAAGTCTTACTCTAGCTGAGGCTAACCTGGAACTCACTATACGGGCAAGGCTAGCTTTGTACTTGCATCGATCCTCTTGACTCTGCCTGAATGCTGGAATTACTTACAGGGATGAGCCACCATGCCCAGCCTTTTATTTTAGGATTTATATATAGAGAGAGTTTGGCCTGTGTGTCTTTCTGCATACCCACATGTGGGCCGGCCTGGTGCCTGCAAGAGATCATAAGAAGGCATCTAATCCTCTTAAAACTGGAATTACAGATGGTTGTGAGCCACCATGCAGGTACTGGGAACCAAACCCCGCAAGAGCAACAAGTGCTTTTTCTATCCAGTACCATACCCAGCTTTTAAAAAGATTCTTTTTTTTTTTTTAAGATTTATTTATTTATTATGTATACAGAAGAGGGTGCCAGATCTCATTACAGATGGTTGTGAGCCACCACGTGGGTGCTGGGAATTGAACTCAGGACCTCTGGAGGAGCAGTCGGTGCTCTTAACCTCTGAGCCATATCTCCAGCCCTTAAAAAGATTCTTAAGTGAACATTTCTTAATCCCTGAGCCATCTCTCCAGCTCCTTTATGAACATTTTTATTAGTGTTTATGAAGTGTACAAAACAATGCGCTTCGCCTGTCTTGATGGTAGTCGCATTTAATCCCAGCACTTAAGAAGCACAAGTAGGCAGCTCTGTGAATTTCAGGCCAGTCAAGGGTACATAGAGAGACCATCTCAAAACAAACAAACCAAAATAATGGGCTTCATGATGGCATTTTCGTACATGCATGTGATATACTGGATGGGCGTTATTGGGCATATCCTGTCCTTGTCTGAAGATAATATTTGGTAGGGTATAAAGCAAACGAGTTACAATTCAACGGATACCATAAATTCGCGGGCGGAGTCAGCAATGGCGCAGAGTTGCCACGCCCCCTCTTCCCACGGCCAATCAGCTGATTCCCCGGAACGGGTTTCCCCGTCCCCCGCCCCCCACTTCTACAGCGCCTTGACTTTAGCAGTTTTGTTGCTCGGTTCAGAAGTGGATCTCTAGGAGTTACCCCAACTCTTGGGGCTCAGCTGAGAGCCAGGAGGTACATCCAAGGGCCAGAAAACGCTGACATTCGTTCCAAGTTCAAGGTCCAAGTCGGCCCCCCCAAATTTTGTAGATAGGGAAATCTGAGGTGCAGATAAGGGAAGTTTATGCGCAGGTTCATCCCCAAGTAGAAAGCAGAAGGCTAGGCCAGGGTATTCTCCGCCGAAGTAGTCATCAGGGTACGGGTTTTGGGGGTCCACATGCCCTGACGGAGCTGGAGCCGCAGCCACGGCACTAAGTCTGCTGACTAGGTTTGCCTCAGTTTCCTCGGCACGGGCTTTTGTGGGGAACTGGAAACTGGCGGTTTGTGAGACCCATTTACGACAGTTTCCAGGTTCCCGGCGCCTTAAACCCCAAGCCCTTTGCTGTCCCGCCCTCTCGCTCGAGCCTCTCGGCGATCTGCTGGGAAAGCCTGAGACTTCGTGTTCCCTTCTCTAGAATGAACTGCTCAGCCTGCTGCCGAGCTGCAACCGCGCAGGCGCCAAGACAGCCAACCAGGAAGGCTGCAGACCGCATGCCTGAGGCTCTGGGAGCTTCAGGGCGGAGAGTGAGGGAGCCAATGGCTGGGAGGAGGGAGGGTGGGAGCTCACGGTTGCTGGGAGGAGGTGCTAGAGATGGGGTGAAGGGACGATCAGGGCCTTCGCGCGGCTCGCTAGTCCGGGGCTGCGGAAGTTGAGCAACTGGGAGGCGGGCTTAGGGCCGGAAGCAGGAAGGAGGGCGCAGGACGCAGGGCGCCGCGCCAGCTGTGCTGTCGGCTGGTGGGACTGTCGGTGGCCGGAGCAGGATGGAGAAGCTGCGAGTCCTGGGCCTCCGCTACCAGGAGTACGTGACTCGTCACCCGGCCGCCACGGCCCAGCTGGAGACGGCAGTGCGGGGCCTCAGTTACCTGCTGGCAGGTGCCACGCTGACCTTTGACCCATTTCTTGGGGACCCTGACCCATGACTCCTGTGGCCCTTTCCTTGCGGACCCAGGGGAGTGGTCACTGTGTCTGAGTTCTGTCTAGGTTCCTGTGCCGTATAGAGAGTTAGGGGGCCCAAAGCCGCAGGGTGGAACAAACGCTCACCAACGCCTCCTGTACCTTCTTTCCCAGGTCGCTTCTCCGATTCCCACGAGCTGTCTGAGTTGGGTGAGCTGGGCTCTGGACTGGGGAGGGAGAAGGCTTCCAGAGGACCACCCTGGCTCCGGGGCCTGGGCTGCCCTTTAGATCGATGTGCCATAACTCAGTCAGACAAGTTCAGCTGCCACTGTCCAGGACCCTCGGTGTTCCCAGGGTTGGGAGACCTGTGAGGGAAGACCTCGACTGGCCGTCCACTCCTGGTTTGGCTCAGGATTAAGCAACTTTTCTGCCCTTTCTAGTTGATCAGTCCTATGCGTATGAGGAGGTCACTGTTGTAATGTCTAGCTGGGGGAATAAAAGGTCAGTGAGGCTGGGGAATGGTCCGTGGTGTTCGGACCAAATGCCGCAACCCCCATACTATGAGTGCCTCAGCTGTGTTTGCTTGTTAGCAGGGCAGTGATGGTCGTGAGAGGGTGAGGTAGATTTTGAAAAGGAGGGGACGGTCTGCAGAGAGAGCAAAGGTGACGTGGTGGAGCCACACATCTGGCTGTTGGGAGGACGACAGGCAGTTCCGAGTAGCTCAGTAACCAGTGCGGTCCAGCAGAGCAAGGGTTTAGCTTGTCACTGTCATCGGCTCAGTTATTGTTGGTTCAGATGCCATCCTCAGGAGAACAGGGCTCTCGGGAAGTGGGAGAAGAGGCATGTCGGTTTCCACACAGTCTGTGGGCAGCTGAGTAGGACTTGTGACAGGTGATCTGTAGAGCTCTGGGGTAAAGGTGAGCGGCGTGGAGGCCGCCTCAGAGCCAGCCTCTGAAGACCACGCTCTGCTTCTCAGTGTACTCTGCCTCTAACCTGCTGGTGCTGCTCAACGATGGGATCCTCCGGAAGGAGCTTCGCAAAAAGCTGCCTGTGGTGAGAATTCTGCCGGGAGCCGAGGGTGGGAGCTCAGGGACTTGGGAAGAAAGCAGTCATCACCAGCACACGCGTGGTGCATGCTGCGGTCTCCGAGTGTGAGACAGGCCCGTGTCCGTATGAGGCTCAGCCCACTGTTCATTGTCCTAGTCTCACTCACACGCAGTGAAGTGTCAGGGCGATGGGAAAGCCTGTCCCGAGCCAGCCAGCCTGTGAGCAGTGGAGGTGGTGTCTGCACTCAGGTGTGGGGCCTGGAAAGGGGGAAGTCCCCACCTGCAGAGAGCCTCTGTCTCTAGGACGGCACTTGGGGCTAGAGAGGCTCCCTGACCTCTGGGCTTCTTGCAGTCGCTGTCCCAGCAGAAGTTGCTGACGTGGCTGAGCGTGCTGGAGTGTGTGGAGGTGTTCATGGAGATGGGGGCTGCCAAGGTGTGGGGCGAAGCAGGCCGTTGGCTCGTCATCGCTCTCATCCAGCTGGCCAAGTAGGTTGGGTTGTGGAGGGCAGGACTCAGGTGGGGCGGCCCCGGCCAGCTTCGAGGGTGCTCAGCAGGGCAGCCTTACAACCTGCTCCCTCGCCACTCCCCCCTAACTGTGCCATACCCCCAACCCAGGGCCGTCCTGCGCATGTTCCTGCTGATCTGGTTCAAGGCTGGCATTCAGACCTCACCCCCCATTGTTCCGCTGGACAGGGAGGCCCAGGCACAGCCCTTGGGTAAGCTGCTTCTCTGCCTTGAAGTGGGATGGGACATGGGGCTGCTCTGTGGATCTGGAGCACATTTCCCACCTGCTCAGCACCCATTATTCTCTAAGAAGGAAAAAGACAAGGTTTGGAGAAAATCAGAACTTCAACTTGGCGGGGGGTATTTATTTTTTGTGATCCTAGCGATCAAACTCAGTGCCCTGTCACTGAGATACACTCCCACCCCTGAACTTGAACTTGTGTCAGAGTCCTCCTTCTGTCCTGTGGGCTTCAGGAGCTAGGACAAGTAGGTGTCCTGCCGACAGTGTCCCTGGGCCTGGTTCTGTGTCATGAACCACAGCCTCAGGAGGCAGCTCAAGACTGCTTTGGCCCTCCGTCAGCCTTGTCTCCTCCCTTCCTTGAGTGGAGACAGTGATGTGCCTCCCACATCCGCATGTTGACAGCAAAGGATGGAGAGAACATGGCCTCATGGCCCCATTGCCCCAATAGTTGTGGTTCGGCTGGGCCTTCCCTTTCTTCCTCCAGTGTCTTGGAAGCCTAGGTTCTCATTTAGCTGTGACTATGGGTAATGATGGCCGCCTTCCTGGGCCAGGAGGGTTCCAGAATGCTTCCCTCTGTGGAAAGATTTCTTAGTGAACCACAGTCCCTAGGTGTGATTACCTTTGCTCAGCCGCTGCCTCGGGACAGGCTCTTGTGTTCTCCCAGGAGCTCCTCAAGCATTCCCTCACGCATGTTCTCTGCAGGCTCTGCTAGGAATGTGTCCCTCTTAAATTATGTCCTGTCTCTACCTGCTAGATGGTGAGCACAGCCCAGGCAGCCATGAGCCATCCTATGTGGGGAAACGGTCAAACAGAGTGGTTCGGACACTCCAGAACAGTAAGTGGAAGATGTAGCTGGACTGGGCACCTAGGTGCTGAGGTCAGTGTGAGCCTGAGGGACTGGCTTCTGTCCGCACCCACTTCGGCTTCCGGCTGACTTACCTATCCTTATGTTCTAGGCCCATCCCTGCACTCACGACACTGGGGAGCCCCCCAGGAGTGGGAAATTCGGCAGAAGCAGCAGCAGGAGGAACTGAGCACACCCCCAACCCCTCTGGGGCTGCAGGAGACCATCGCAGAGTCTTTGTATATCGCCCGGCCCCTGCTGCACCGTATCCTTAGCTGTGCTGGAGGCGGGTTGGGGAGGGGCGGAGCTGGACCCTGCACTGGAGACATCCTTGACACCTTGACCGTCAGTGCTCAGCCTGGGCTTCTGGGGTCAGCGGTCATGGACACCCTGGCTACTGTCTGGTGTGGTAGATATGACTAGGTGAGGGTCCGCAAGGGATTCCATTCCTTCCATGGGGCTTTCTGCTTGCTGTTTGGTTATCCCAGTCTATGGCTTTTTCCCTCTCAGTGACGTAGATCATCCTTGTTCCTATGTCCCTTCCCAACAGCCTGAGTCTCCTGAGTGACAGAAAGAGCCTGACCCGAAGGGAGCGGCTAGAGCTGAGGCGCCGTACAATCCTGCTGCTGTACTACCTGCTGCGCTCGCCATTCTATGACCGCTTCTCTGAGTAAGGACCACCCTCACATCGGCGGGGCCATCCATGGTGCATGGAGAGAGCTGGGGTGGGCTGAGTACTTGCTGGTTCTGGAGCTGTTCAGGAAGCAGCCACTAGAACCACCGGCCCTCCTCAGGCCAGTGTGAGTTTATAAGGGTAGATTAAGAGTTCTGCAAGGCCACAGTTGAGGCAGACCACCTGTCTCCAGCTCTTTTCACCACAGGGTATCCACTTTTCAGAGCAGATGCTGCACTTCAAAGGGGCCTGGCCCATCCCACACTGATCACCTATGAGGGATCAGAGCCTCTGCCTTAGCCAGAGAAATCTCTCAGAACGGCCTGCCAGGGTGCCTGTGACCTGTGGTGGAATATCTAACTGAGCAGGAGCTGGACTGTGAGATCTCTGGGCTCAATTCCTCTCCTATAAAGTGGGGATAGTGACGGCACCATCTGAGAGGGTGGTGTCGGGGTCAGATAACTGAATGTGTCTGGCCGTGCTTGGTATATGCAGTGAGCATGTGATAAATGTTAGGTCTTTTTCTAACCTTGGTGCTGCTGGGGCAAAACCCAAGGCCTCAAACACGAACTACACCTCCATCCCATACGTGTTCTTTGCTTGTTCCCAACATCATTGTGTCCCACCCCAAGTTCCCCTGTGGAAAGTCCCATGTCTTAGACAACAAGCGTCTCTTTGAGCCAGCAGGGACCCTTCTTAGCACCGTGGACCCTTCCTACTGTGAGCATTGGCTTCTGAGGTTTCTAAGTAGCTCAGCTCTCCTACCAGTGTACCTCCCTCCAGAAACCTCCAGGGCACAGGCCTTGCCACAAAGGGACCTTTAGGAAGCACTGTTGTTGAATGCCAATGGTGGGAAGGTCGAAAAGAGGGGAGAGAGTGTGTTGTGATGTGAACCAGCTGCCAGAGTGGACAGAGCTGTGAGCATTAGGTGCAGCTGTAGATAGGTGCAGTGCCAGTGGTCTGTCCTAGCCTTGTTTTCTGAAATGCCTGGTGCTCGGTCAGGCCTTTAGCTCCCTGTGTGCAGGGACCCGCCCCACCATGCTGTTCTCTTCCCGTTCAGAGCCAAGATCCTCTTCCTCCTCCAGCTCCTTGCAGACCATGTCCCTGGCGTTGGCCTAGTGGCAAGTAAGTGTGGGCGGACAGTGCGGCTGCGCAATGTCCCCGAGGCACAAGTGGCCCGTCTCACTGTTTGTTCTGTCTCTTTTTGGTTTGATTATTGGGCAGTCAAGTGTGAACCCTAAATTGGTGTTGGGAGGTGACACTCCAGGGCCTAAGTTGACCCATGGAGGTGTGGAGGTGGCTGGAAGAGTACCTGGGTGTAGGATTATTAGGCCACATCAGGTGGCAAGCCCTCTCCTGACTGTGACCTGAATCACAGGAGGCAGTCTGATCTGGTAAGGCAAGGAGGGGCCTTGGGGCCTGTCTGGGTACCCCACCATAAAGGAAGACATGCTGCTCATGCTACTTGGCTCCCCTGAAGCCAGGGCTCCTTGTCTGTAAATCACATCTCCAGCATGGCGGCAGAGAGGCAGGAGACCCAGCAGATGGCGCAGGTCTGAGCTGCTGTGCTGGTGGCCGTGCCCGGGGGGGCCTGCGGCGGTGCCCCGGGGCCTGGGGCGGTGCCTGGGGCCGGTTTAGCCCTTAACTCCTCCTCCCTCTCATTGCAGGGCCGCTCATGGACTACCTGCCCTCCTGGCAGAAAATCTATTTCTACAGTTGGGGCTGACAGACGCGCAGGAGTGGGTGCAGAGCGGTCGTGTGATGTGCTCTATTGCTCTGGGTGGGCCTTGCCTCCGCCCTCCAGTCCCCCGGGGCCTCTTCTCTAATAAAAGTGACTCTGGTCGTGTCCCAGCATGTGGCTCTGTGTCCACCAGCCAGCGCCTGCCCTGGCAGTTCTGCCTCCTCAGTCCTGGTCACCACAGCTGCTCCTTCTCACACCTTCCTGGGATGCAGCCACAGCAGCTGCCTTGTCACTGGGCAGGAAGTCCCCATCAGGTCCGGGGGGCAGCTTCATCTTGGCACAGCAGACTGACTCAACTTTCTCCAGCATGGGCCGCCATTGAATTAACTGCGTGACTAGATGCTTCCTTCTCACTGGTCCCTGGTGAAGACGAGTGGATCTAGGCCATGGAGGACCGTGGTCCACTATGCCTGCTAGCCAGGGTCTGTCTCCCCTTCACCACAGGCTAAACAGCAAGCCCTGAACCCTAGAAGCTCTTCTCTATGGCAGAAGTCAGATCTGCCAGGGCTGGGACGGGATCGAGTGCGAACCTGGATCTGTGTGTGTGTGTGTGCGTGTGTGTGCCCACGTGCGTGAGATTGCTGGAGCCATGTAGGCTATTGTGGGGAAGTGAGAAGAGGGCCTGAACTTCACTGTCTTTGTGTCCATCCTCCCGTCTCTCCCTCTGTCCTTCTCTTTCTGTCTTTTAGACAGACTCACTGGCCTCAAACCCATGGCAGTCCCAGTGTGGGACTCTAGGGTTAAGCTGTCACCCCTACCTTGTTCCTGTCCTTTTGCTGCATGGACTGTTCCCAGCAGTGGTGCCCCTCGACTTTGGAGGACACTGTTTGCACCTGTCTTCCAGGCCTCCCCCCCTCCAGTGTGCTCTCACAGCCCCAACTCAACCCGACATGCTTGCCGTGTGATTGTGAGCAGCACAACCCTGGGCTCTGAGCAGCAGTGGCGAGGGCAGCCTCAGTCTGTGGGCTCGGAACCCGTGACCCTCTGCTCAGACTCAGGCATCCTGTGTGCTTGTAGGATGTAGCAGTACATCTGTACTGTACACTGTAGCAGGCTTCAGCGCCATGCCACCTGTGGTCCCCGCCTTGCAGTCCCCGACTACCAGGTCATCTGTGTATGTACTGCAGTGGGGTCTTGAAGATGGAGGTGGTGTGGCAGAGGGGAGCGAGGCCTTCCAGCAGGCGGTGGGACTCAAAAACTGCAGCAGTTGTGTTAGTCTGGAGATGGTAGAGACTAACCGCCAAGCCACACCCCTCACCGGGAGGTCAGGTTCCTGACAGGGTAGGTTGTGTGTTGAATGCAGCTGTGCAGGGGCTTGCTGGAGACAACACTGAAGTGCTGTGCTGTGTGGGCATAAGGAGTGGGTGGCACGAGGCCCAGGGGAAGGTCTGGTAGGGCACCATACACCTGGTGTTCTGCGCAGAGACGAGAGTGGGTGACACTCAGGCAACGGGGCAAGGGATGAATAACCGCAGCAGACCATGGGGGCTGTGGGCAGAGGGACAGGGTGGTATCCAGGAGTCCAGGGATGGGTGAGGCTTTGGAGTTGGCCAGCATATGGCACTCCAGGTCCCTAGAACTGAGGAAGGGAGGTTTCCCGGCAGGGACATAACACTAAAGCAGTGGTATGGGACAAGGGTCTTCTCCAGGCTGGCAGTAGTGGTGCACAGCTTGGATCCCAGCACTTGGGAGGCAGAGTTCAAGGCCAGCCTGGTCTACAGCGTGAGTCCCAGGACAGCCAAGGCTACACAGAGAAACCCTGTCTCCAAAGCCTTCAAGATGCGAAGGAAGGTAGTGCTGGAGCTGATGCTGAGCTCTGGAACTAATGTCCTTTGTGAGGTGGCCCTGAGAACGCCCGGGCACCAGGTTCTGTCCCGCTGGGGGAGGGGCAGGCAGAAGCCACAGCAGGGACTGTGTAGGAGATGGTTCTCGCCATGCTGGGGGCTCTCTATCCCAGGGCTGGGCTCAGCCTCTTCCTTTTTTACCTCATCCTGGCAGGTGCCCTCCTTCGACCGCAGCCCCAGAGGTAAGGCCAGAGCCTCAGGGCCCAGAAGACTCTGACAAGGCTGGCCATTATCCTGGGAAGGGTTGGTTTATGAAGACTTCACCCTGGGCTGACCCGCAGAGGACAGTGGCTGTGGCCCTGGGCCAGGGCTCAGCACAGCAACATTTCCCACAGGTCTCTGCGATCTGTTCCTGAGGAATTTTCAGCCCCGCTGGAACTCTCAGCGCCGCTCTCGGGCCTCATGGATGGTAGGATTTCTCCCCTCCCCACCCTCCACAGCAGGTGCCCCAGAGGTCCGCGAGGGCCAAGTCCCGGGTCTCCTCCTCCCAGACTGCCTCTTCAGAGCTGGCTACAGCCCTGTTCCAAGTCAGCAGCTCTTCCCTCCACCCTTCTCTTCTTCTCTCTTTAGACTACGGGGTCAGACCCAAGCACCCGTGGCCACGAGGGCCCCGACCCCTTCTCTCTCAGGCCCAGCAGCGCAAGCGGGACGGGCCCAACATGGCTGACTACTACTATGACGTGAATCTGTGATGGGAACCCCGCATAAAGCTATTCTGGGCAGCAAATGCTTGGCTTGCTAGCCTGTGTGTGACAAGAAGGCCCAGCAGGGGTCCCAGTGAATACACCCACCGTGGTCCAGACAGGAAATGGCACTTTAATAGTAGTAGCCAGGTGACAAGACAGTGATGGGATCGGCTGGGACCGGCTGAGAGGCCGCCTATCCCTGCCAGGCAGGGCTTGCTGTAGCCTCTCCTTGCTAGCACACACACGCCTGCCAGGACCAGCATGCTGGCCAGGCTGGAGGTCGGAGCTGCCTGGGGGCCCCACGGACGTCAGCCGAGAACAAGGTCTTCACTGCCGTGTATTGCCATTTCCTCACTGGAAAGTCCTTGGGAGGTGGTCGGGCTCAGCCTGAGCGCAGGGCTCTAGGTGAGGTGGGGACAGGAAGGTGGGCACTTCCAGGTGGAATGGGCTTTGTCGAGGCAGGAGCCGAAAGCCAGAGAAGTCAGGGTCCTCGGCATGGAACAAGGCCCAGGAGAGGGCAGTGCCTCTGTTCCTAGGGGATCCCTCTGTGGTCAGAGGCCTGACCCCCCAGCCCCACCTTTCCCCAGTCCCCAGAGAGCCTGTACCGTCCTCCATAGATGAATCTAAACCCATATATTACAATAAACTGCATCTGCCTCTCCCCACACCCGCCCCACCCCAGCAGCCCGCACTCCCCCATTTTCTTGTGGCAGTACCACATCCTGTCCAGAGCCAGCTGTCCTACACTGGCCCGGGGCTGAGGGGCTGCAGAGGGTGGCGGCGCTGCTACTCCAGGTAGATATCTTCTGTAGGACAGGTGTACTCCACAAACTGCTTGTAGAACTGCTGAAATGCACGCCTGCAAAGTGGGGGACACTGGGTGACCAGGAGCCTCGAGCCAGGGTCTTCCGAAGCTCTTGGGGACGCTGGCACATCTTAGCTCTGTTCTCTGGGCAGTTATTTCCCAAAGAGGAAAGGACTGGTTGAGAAAGGGCCCAGCAGCTAATTAGCAAGGAAGGGGCCCAGACCCTGGGCTCCTTAGTACCTCCCAACCTCTTCCAGGAGTGGGGCTTCCAGGACAAGGGTGGCACTAATACTGAGCATGAAGACGCTCCAGTCTTGTGACAGGGCATATTACCTGGACACACACACACACACCCACACACTCACCCCACAGACTCTGCCAGGGCTTTGGTGGAGTCTTCAGACACAAAGACATGGCACGCAAACCGGTGGTCAGCGGGGTGCTTGGTGATGAACCCAAAGTACCTGTGGGAAGGAAGGCAGGCAGGCATCCATCTGTGAGACAAGGTTCGTGCCCATCCCCGCCCACGATGGCCCAGGACGGCCACTGGGACTCGTGGCTGCCTCTCCCACTTACTTGTTGTTCTTTGGATGGTATCCACAGAAAGAGATGTTTTTTAGCTGGAAAAAGTGGCTACATTTATTTCCCTACAGGAGGCATGAGAGAAGACAGTCAGCCTGCAGGGGAGGCGGACAGGGGGGGATAGGGCAGGTCCACAGGGAGGGGAGAGGCCCGTGGCAGGCGAGAACTGAAGGGGAAGGAGACGACGCACATGGGGCAAGAAGGCTGGGGCTTGAAGGAAGTCACCTTGGCCTCCTGAGCATCATCGGCTTTGACACCTATCTTGACACCCCTGACGCTGATCTCAAGGACGCAGCTGGAGGGTGGGTTAAAGTGCACGGTGAGCCGGCGGGTGGTGGCGATCTGCAGGAGGGACAGAGCCATGTTGTTAGCTCTGTTTCTCCGTGGACCCCTCATGTCTCAGCACTGCCTCGAGACCCGATAGTGAGGGCTGGCTGAGCATAGGCGCCCCCCAGGAAAAGGCCAGGAGCCGGATTTGGGTACCTTTTGCATAGCGGCACAGAGGACATCATTGCCCTTGTGATAAGGAACCTGGACGGAGCCCAGGAACTTCACCCGGAACTGGTCAATCCAGTCGCTGTTTTTGGCAAGGGCTAGAAAGCAACCATACAATAAGCAAGAGAGCCATCAGCAGGGGGGCTCAGGGCCAAGCCAAGAAGGGACAGTGCAGCATGTGCAGTGACTCAGGCAGCAGAGGATGCCGCCGTCCTCACATGCCCTGATTGGCTGGGCCTCACTGACTAACGTGTAATGGAACCTCTGCTCTCCTCCCCGGCTGCCTAAGACCCGCGGGGCATGCTCGCTGGCAGCCAGGCCGGGGACACACACACACACACACACACCCCCACACACACACACACAAACTGGAGGCAAGTACTACCTGCCATGTGCTCAGGCTCCTTGGTGACCTCAATGGCATAGTAGGCAGGGAAGACGCCTCGGGCTCCGGTGCGCATGTTATAGGCCTCGTACCAATAGTCTTCTGCCTGCAGCTCCACCAGCAGAGGGTCGTCCACTTCCAGCTCAAGTTCGTCTTCGTGTCGAGGCACAAACCTGTCCCCAAAGGCACGTGAGGCGCTGATCGGCAGGGTTCTTTAGCCTAATGTGGGGTCCTGAGCCACTGACTTTTACAAAATACCCGTGCGCCCCGTCACAGTGCTGTCTCCTAGGGGACACATGACACTCAGATATGCATCTGCTACCCAAGATTTCAGGGGCCAGGGAGGGAGGGAGCCTAGGCCTTGATAACGAAAAGGCCACGGAAAGTGAGCACCTTGCCTAGAGGCAAGATGGGGCGCAGGTTCTGTGCAGGGCAGGTATCTCTCTGGCCCCTCACCAGGTTAAGTGCATAGTCCTAGCTTCCCCGTGACACCCCAGCATTTTGTCATCGAGCTGAGTTCCTACAGGGGGATCCTGTCCCCCAGCAGCAGAGGGATGGCAGTGATGGGCTGGCAGAGGCAGGGAAGGGGGCAGCCCTCACCTGAATATAGCCCGATGGGATTGCTCCTGCTCCTCCCCATTGATGACGCAGGAGAAGAGCCCGAAGGACTCGGCACCTGTAGGAAGTCAAGAGGCTGGAGGAGGTGGCCTCAGCTTGGGCCAGGCAGAAAGCTCTGTCCTGCTCTCAGACGGACGACCAGCTCTCCCTGGCCAGGGTCCCCCCCCCACCATTCCCTCTCACTGACTCACTGGAGGAGCGAGAGCGGCCACTCATGAAGACGTTCAGAAACTTCTTAGAGAAGTGGACATCAGGCTCGTCCGGTGTGGAGTCCTCCGAGAGGCAGGTGGGAGGCCGGGGCTGAGGGGCCTCCTCATACTCCTCACCGATGGCTGACTCGTAGGGCGAGGAGGCAGAGGCACAGTTGTCATAGACAGTAGCAGAGTCGCTTTCGTCACTGTAGTCTCCGAAGCATGGCCGCAGGCTCACCAGCTCAAGCTGGGCATGCTCGTCCACCACCAGTGTGTACTTGACCGAGTCGTAGGACAGGGCGCTGGTGTCCGAGCTCAGGGAGGCCCGTGGAGGCGGCGGCGGCTCCCCCAGGCTTCCCCGCCACCCTCCACCGGGTGGCTCGGCGCGCTCCGGGGATGACAGGCAGTCGAAGCCCTCGTCCTCTTCACTGATGGAGGGGTGTGGCCGCCCTGCAGTTGCAGAGTAAACCGCAGGGTCCGGATCAGAGCTCACGGACATCCGGCTCTCGGTGGGCGGCAAGAAGGTGGAGGCGGGCTCTGCAGGGTCCGGAGGCCTCTGCACTGGGGTCAGGTAGATTTCCTCAGTTGCCTCGAGCCGCACATCTGCCTGATAGTGGATTCGGTCTCGATGGGAGTGGCCGCGGCCACCAGGTGCGGCGGCAGGAGGACCACTCGGAGGAGCCATCTGCGTGGCAGCGCTGCGGCGGCAAGGGCTGTCGGTGGAGGTGCCGCGATCCTTGGTGGGAACGGGACTGTTCTGGGGCGGCAGTTCGTCACTCAGGCAGATGTGGTCGTGTGGCGGTGTCTGCTCCCCTAGAGGATGGGCGAGTTGGTACTGAGAGCTGGGCCCCACTCCAGATGGCTGCCCCCTCCTCTTCCCAGTTGTCCTCGGCCCAGGTGGGCCAGGTGAAGACACTGGGTCTCCAACTCAAGGGAGAGAGGTCAGTCTCACTTACCTGTCTTCAGAGGGGAGGATGACCGAGACACGCGGTCCTGCCAACTGTGCTTTTTGCCTAAAGAATTATTATTCAGCGTGTCCTGTGCAGAGAACAAAAGGCTCTTATGAAGAAGCGGTCAGCAGTGCCCGGCACTGGGAGGCCCTGGTCCTGCCCCCATCAGGCCATCCCTAGGCTGTTCCCACCCCATCTGGCCCTGCCAAAGGCCTCGCTGCCAACCTCCCTCTAGCGGGCAGCCAGGGTGGGAAATTACCACCCTCCCCGCAGGCCTGCTGGCTTGGAGACAACCCTCAAGAGATGCAGTGGTGGTGCTGGCCAGCGTGGGTGCTGAGTAGAGGGTGCGGAGGGGGAAGCACAGATCCCAGGAGAGTCAGCCAGCAGCCCCAGGCACTGACGGGAGACATGTTCTGATGCTCAAACCCAGCCCTGGTGAAGGACGGGAAGACTGACCCAGAAAGCTGGGGTCTCGCAGAGTGGTGGGGGCACTCTGGTACAAGGAAGGGTCTCCCCAGAAGCTGGCCTGTGGGCCTGGATGAATCATTCGAATCATGACTCCATAACACTCACCCCCACTTCCCCCCACGTGACTAAGGAATGACAGATGTAGTGTCAGCAGCCCTCCTTCCTGGATCTCCCAGAATGCTCATGCATGCCACAGTCAGCCTCCGGAGACCCCTGAACAGAGCCCATGCCCAGGGCTCTCCACACACGACTTGGGCTCCCTTCTCCAGGGACCACGATAAGCAACACACACACACACACACACACACACACACACACACACACACACACACACATTCATGAACTGAGCTGCCAGGAGCCATGCCGGAGGATCCTGGGAAAGGGACCAACCTCTTCCCTGCAGCCCCTCAGCTCTCCACCAGTAGCCCCACCGCCCCAGCTCCTCCCAGTACCTCTCCTGCCTAGGCCGACAAGACAATGGGTCAAGGCAGCCGCTTTGGCACCCAGCCACCTGCCAGGGGCCCTAGGCCCCAACTCAGCCAAACAATTCCTCTATTGCTGCTGTCTGGAATGTCCAGCTGCTGAGATGTCCAACTGGCTGCAGACCCTAAATTCCCATTCCACCTTCATCCCATTTCAGATGCTCTCTTCTCCAGGCTCTGCCGCTGCCTCAACCTTCACCAAAGCCCCCAACCCAAAGAGGACCCTGTCACAACTGTAGGAACCCAACTCCTTTGTTAGTCCCCTGCGACTCTCCCCACTGGGATCCCTGGCACCCCCTTCGACCCTTTCCAGAACCCATACCCAGCCTGCTGGGATCAGCCCTTCTCGGGACAGACGTCCCTGCCCCTAGACAAGTCCTTCCTCTGGCCCTACCTGCAGAGAACCTGCTCCTGCCCAGGCACCATGCCAGGGTGGTCGACCCCCACCAGCAGGCCCACGCCCCTACATCTTCCCTGTCCACCCAGGGCGCCGCCCCCTCAGCTCTGCCCCGAGCAGCTCACCTGAGACCGCGGCACCTGCGGGAAGAGGTTGAGCGTGGTAGGCCGCTTGGGCCGGTAGGTGTCTCCGCTGCCCGTGCCGGGGCCCTGGCCTTGGCTGCGAGGCGCAGGCTCCTGGCCGGACTCGGCTTTGGGAGGCCCCACTCCCGGCCGTTGGGCAGCGAGCTCGTCGTCCTCCTCCTCGTCGTCGTCCTCAGCTCCGGGAGTGTCGCCTGCCGCGTCGATCAGGTCCATCTGCAGCATCTCCGCCTGCAGCCGGCTCCCTGCGTTGCCGCTGCCACCCGCAGACAGCAGCCCGGCGCGCGGGGGCTGCGCGGCGCGGACGGAGGGGCGTCAGGGGAGGGGCCTCGTGAGCGGGGGCGGGGTCTCGCGGGAGGGGCGGGTCTGATGCCGCTGTGCCCCGCCTCCCTCCCCACCGGACGAGTCCATTCGGCAGCCGCGAAGGGAGGGAGACAGGGAGCCGAGCAGAGACCCAAGCCCTGGGCCACTCCCGTCCGCACCCCCACCCCCGCCACCCACCACGAGGCCGCGTCCCCGGGCCAGAAGGAACCGCCCACGCCTCTCCGCTCCCACGGTCCCCCACCCCCCGACTCCTTGCACCCTCCCGTTCCCTTGGCAACGGCCAGTGACCTCACTCTGGTGGTAAGCCGAGCCCAGAGTGAAATCACCACTGTTGCCACGGAGACCTAGGGGTCGCCCAGGAATTCTGGCCCCAATAGGGAAGGGTGAGACAGCTGGCGTTTGAAGGGGCCATTGAAGCAAACTGGGGAAAGTGCGTGTCGGCCAGGTGAGAAAGACTGCAGTGGGGACTGGAGGCCCCGACTGGACCCCAAGGGGGACTCTGAGGGGGGGCCCTTGCCAGTCAGCTCTAACCTGAACACTTCCCCCATCCAACCCTGCCTCTATAGTCCCTATTTGCTACTTCCGATGTTGGCACTAACTCCTGGCACCTTGGACAGATCCCCTGGCTGTATACTGCTGTCTTCCAGGTTCCCAGGGAGGAGAGGACATTGCAAAGTGTGCATGAAAGCCACTGAGACTTTGACTAGCTCCCACCGGGGGAGTGCTCTAGTTAGTAGGGCACTACCAGGGTAGGGGTGGAGGTGGTTCTGGCTAACGGCAAAAGACCCTCTTGAAAGCTTTGCATTTCAAGGAGACAGTAGTTTCAAACTCCAGAACAGGTATGGGACCTTCGAGAAGTCGTGACCCAGCTCTGGGACCGCTCCCCAAGCCCAGAGGAGAATGCCATTGCCTCCATCCTTTCTGGCCTGGCCAGAAGGGAGAGGATTGGGAATGGGAACTGGAAGGTCATCCTCAGGGCTTGCCTGTCTTTGCCTGGAAGTTTCTAAAAGTGCTAGGGATAGCAGGAGGTCTAAGACAAATACCCTTCCCTCGCTCACTCTACAGCTGTCTAAATGCCACATCTAGCTACTCAAGTACCTGGCTAGATAAAGTGCTTGACTCAGACACTTAGCCCAGAGCACCTGCCTTCCCCATCCTGCAAGCAAGTCTTTGGTTTGTGTTCAGACAACAGACCGGGGATTCCCATCTATCCGGGCACCCTGACACTCAGACATAAGGACAGGAGACAGCCTGTCACTATGGTAAAGCCAAGGGGCTCGGAGTAATACCAATACTGGAAGAACCCCTCAGCAGGCACCACTGAAAGCCTCAAAGGCTGGTAGTGTGGTCAGGGTGGTACAGCAGCAGCAGCCACAGGAGCGAGTCCAGCAGCAGCAGCAGCCACAGCAGCGAGTCCAGCAGCAGCCTGGCTCCCTTCTCCTGGCCCAAAGCACTGCAGATTCTACCAGACTCCACCCTGTACCGCTGCAGGCCCCCTGCCAAGAAGCTCCTGAGAGGCCCTTGCCTTCATTCTGGCCCTCACTGCCTCTGTCCTACATCTCAAGCCTTCCTGCTCTCTCTCTCTCTGTGAGCAACTGAAGGAGCTGCCTCCTGCCTTAGCACCGAGAAGACAAGACAATACAAAACATTAAATTAAGATTTTGCTTTGAGCACCCAAGATGTGCCAAACATTACACTAGGTGCTTCCTGCATTGTTCATTCACTTCCCAGGGGTGCCACACCTACTCAAAAGCTCCTTTGTAAATAGAGGGGTGCCCTCGCTTCTGTCCCCATCCCCCCACCCCATGCAGACTCTCCAGACCCAGCCCTTACCCGGAGAGACAATGTGTCTTTGCACTGCAGGCTGATTCCACACTCATCAGTGATCTCGGAAAGGTCTTCATCCTCAAACTCCTCCAGACTGATGTCGTGGGTGAGCCTGGCGGGGACAGAAACCAGCGTTACAACCTAGGGGGCCTAAGTCTCCACTAACCCTGCTGGTGTCTCCCACTTCTCGGGGGAAGCCTCTGGAAGGCAGGTGACAGCTCCCAGATGGAGGACTCAGTCTGTCTGTACCGGTGGCAGGGGAAGGATTTGGGGTTGGAGCCAAAAGGCATTCCACCTAGGGTGGCGGAGGAGGCAGCTCAAGGTTCCTCCAGCATCACCAGCTGGGAGTTCTCCATCCTGCTGCCAACCAGAAGGCGGTCCTAGAAGGCCCAACTGTCCAGAGCCTCAGTTCTGTTGGAGAAATGCCTCCAAAGCCAAGTGCCAAGGCTAGTTCAACCCCAAGAGGTACCCAGAGCAGGGAAACCTTTGCACTCTACAGTAACAAGACCCAAAGGGCTACCAGAAGGCACAGCAGGTACCCCTTTCTCTTACCCACAAAAATTACACGCCACTGAGCCAGGGTAACAGTGAGGGGGACCTGGAACCTGCCTGCTCTGAGAAAAGCTATGGCTTCTTCTTACGTTCTTGGTCTCGTCTCTTCAACTACACAATCTCATCTGACCCTGAGCAAATGGGGTCAGGGAGGGCCCAGGCTCGGGCTTGAGACAGACCACAAAGAGACCTTGGGTCCCAGACACTCGCAGGCTTCCAGGAGCCCAGGCCAGCCTGTGTGCCCACCTGGGGATGCACTGCTGACAGCCACTGTGATGACGGCCTGTGCCCTGTACCTGCCCATCCCAACCCTGGCACTTTGTCTGGCTCGGGGTAAGTGGGACATCTGGGGAGCTGAAGAGAATGCCTGGGCCTTTTCCCAGAGACCAGGAGATTAGGCACAGAGCAGAGGTACACAAGCTCATCCAAGGTCACCCAGGAAAGGAAGGACGGGGTGCAGCTCCCAGGGAAGCCTAGAAGGCTCACACCTCTGTCTTCTAGCTCACTCAATCTGAACAGGGGCCCTGCGCTCCATGGAGCGCCTCCCGACTCACCCCTCCCCCACCCTGAGGTCAGCCCCCAGGACCCTACCAGCGCTCCCACTGATCCTCCAACCAGCTGTCATTGTCTGGGCTCGAATCCATCTTCAGTACCAGCTGCATGGAGAGCCCTGCCCGGCCAGGGGGCTGCGGGGCTCCAGGGCTGCCCTCTCATGCCCAGAAGGGTGGGGGGGCCAGAGCTCAAGGCAGGGCTGAGGCTCCTGGCCTCCACCAACTGGGCCTGCCTTTCTGCATCCTGCCGGCTGCAGAAGCCTGAGGAGCTCATTAAAAATAGATGGGGCCCGAGAGGAGGCCGCAGCTGCCGACCCAGGCCCCAGCCCCAACTCTTCCTGGCCCAACCCTCGGATGCGGGCAGCTTCCTCCCTAGGCGGCCCGACGCGCTGCGATGTCGCCGCCTCCCCCGCGGGATCAGGTTACTGCAATCAATGCTACTGGCTCCACCTGCCCTTCCAATGCCCCTGCTGGGGGCTGGAGTGACCCTCCCTCCTCCCAAGGCCAGGCTTGTAAGCTGACGGCAGAAATCTGCTATTTTTTTCCCCCCTCAAAGCCAGACCCTGATCTGCTTTAAAGGGCCAGCGCCACACACTCAGGGTGCCAAGTGGGAAGATGGAGGGGCTTCCAAGGTGCCCCAAAAATGGACACCCGAATTTACACAGTCACAGGCTCCGCCTCCACACCGCGTCGGCGAAAGCTTCTGCACGCCCGCCCAGGGCCCGGGGAGGTTGGGTCGGGGATTGGGGCTTCCGGGGAGAGAGCGATGAGGACCCTCTTGGAGCATGGTTGGGAGTCATTTGGGAGTGATTTTGACTGGGTCTGGAGGTCTCTAGTAGCAACTGTCCTGGAAGATTCTGACCCCAAGGGGGAACAGGTTTCCAGACATGGGGGTGTGGCCGCCAGCTGGCATGGAAGTGGCCAGGGGGCTGGTCCAGAGACCAGAGCATCCTCCGCAGTCCGGCCTTTTGGCCCTGTAGCTGACACTAAAGGCAGCCTACCTGTAAGGTGTGGCACTCAGGCAGCATGGCAGTCCCTGGGTCCCACTGGGCATCTTCTCTGGAGGTGTCCTCAGATGCCCCAGCTCTGCTGGTGCCCTCTGTACACACCTCCCTGCCAAACCCTGGTCCAGTTCCTGCATCCACCAGACAAGCGGGTGCCCCTGCCCGCTGGCCTCCGTCTCCCTATACCTGCACTACTCCTATGGCCACGAGGCAAAGTCTCAAGGGACACCACCATCCTCACTCAAAACCCTCCTGGGCTCTCTGCAAGGGGGCAGACTCTAGCTAGCCTTGTGTGCAATGACCTATTTGCGGAGCCTCGCTCCTCAAGAATGGGCCCCAACAGTCTCAACCTGGGACTTGCATGGTACACGTGGAAGGCCTTCAAACTGGGCATGCCTACCCCTCTGAATAGGGCAGGCGTCATCCTCTGGGTGGACCCATCAGAGATGCCCGACCCATCCTGGCTACAGAGTTGGGTGGCATGCAGCCCCCTTATCATCCACACTTCTCCCTTCCCGGCTCCCATCTAGACTGGATGCTCCTGGAGGGCAGAGCCGGTGAGGACGTCAAACACACTCTCTGTGCTCAGCAGACACATGCCAGGTGCTGGCCACAGGAAAGCCTCGGTCTCTACCCTTCCGCTCAAACTCAAGGGTTTGGAGTCAGGCTGCAGGAGTCTATGTGGCCAGAGGATGCGTCCCTGAGCGTCCATGGCCCCTTAGTATGGCCTGATGAGCCCTTTCCTGAACCACGGTCTGAGTGGGACAAGCCAGATGAGGGCACTGGGTTAACTGGACAAAGTCAGGAAGAGCTATGGACTGGAGGTCAGGAGCCTTCCATTAATCCTTAGTTGCCTTCAGGGCAGGGAGGGTGTTCTTGCCTTCTCTCACTCCTAAATTCACCCAGGAAAGAAGGCCCGGGGACGACATGTTTCATCCATCTAGAAACCTTGGTATCAGTACCCTTGTCTGTCTTTGGGGTGATTCTCCTAAGCGGAATGAGACCAGCAGAATGACCCCGGGTCAGGCCTGGTAGTAGGAGTATTGAGAGCAAATCCTTCCCCTTCTTAAGATGCCACCAGCAGGGCCAATAACCTTGCTACATTCCTTTACTACCTTGGGATGGGGTTCTGGGCCATCTCACAGAGGAGGGTGCCCCAAGGCTCAGGCACAGGGGTAAGACGCGGTTTCCTTTCTGCCTGCCACCTCAGAATGAGTCGGAGTGTCTGAATTAGTGTCAGGAGGAGGCCACCACCAAAGAAGAGGGGGAAGGACTGGCCAAGGGCTGTCCTCTGCTGTTCCTCACTCTTCTCTAGGCACTGATGGTCTAGATCTCCCGGGCAGAGCCCAGAGACCCTTCGAGAAGGGGAGGGGATTGGCAGCAATGTGTTCAGGGACACCAACAGTAAGGAAGAAGAGGGGGAAGCTGGAGTCGGGGAGTCAGGGAGTCAGGGAGGCAGGAGGCTCCTCCCGACCTTGCCTAAGGCACTTCTTGGAAATCTGAGCCCTGGCCTGGGAGGTGGCACAGGAGAATCACACAGCCCTGGCAGCTTGGCAGCTTCTTCCTCGGGGTTGGACCTTGGGCAGCCTCCCAGGGTAGCATGCTTCCTTGCCCGTGTTGTGCAGACAGACACACAGCACAGCCATGCTTGCTGGCCCTGTGTCCGAGTTTGGTCACTGGACCCCACACTGACTCGGGCATCTGTCTTCCTGCAGTACATACCCTCTTGCAGTGACAGCCCCCAGCAACACCTTGCTCAGCTTCTGGCCATGACCACGCCCCACACTCTCTACGGTGTCCTGGACTGGGCTCAGGCAAAGCTGCTCCGGGATTCTCATGGGCTTTCAGCTGCCCGGGGTACTCTTGGCCGTGTGTCCATCCCTGCAGCAGTTCCGGCTGGTCCTCGCCTCTTCATGAACTCCTTCAACCAGGCACAGGCTGAGGTGGCTGTACCCAGGAAGTGAGGGCCGAGCACAGTGCTGAGCTTTCACTGAGTAAGGCCAGGTGTGGGCTGTCAGAAGCCACTCTTGAGCCTTGCCTTCCAGCTTCCTGTCTAAGTTACGGAGACTAGCTAAGGGCCCTTTGGCCCCAGCCACGGCGCCTCTAGGGGCTTCTTGTGATAGAACCCACCTGAGATCCAGGGGTCCGGCCTGCCCTGGCAGCCCTAAATCTTACAGCGCTGGCTCTCAGGAGATCCTGAGGGTACCCAGTGTCTAGCCTCCAGCCCCTTGGCTCCTCTGACTTTGAAGAACAGGACACTCCGCCTTTCTGGTGGCTCTTAGCCCCGCCTAGTGGCAGTTATGGAAGGACAGTAGTTTTCCTTTTGGGTTGTATGACCCAGGGTGGCCCCTCAAAGGGCAGCTGGCCAGTAATGTAAGGTGCCACGAGGTAAGGGTTAAGCAAAATACAGCATTCCCGGGTCTTTACATTTTTGCCATGCAAAGGTCTAGATCAGTTCCCTTTTTGGATCCAACTTCCTGTGTTCTCAACAGAGAGTCTAGGGCAGGCTATCCGGGCCTCTGGAAAAACAGCCTGGCTGAATCTGGAAGGCAGGGTAAGCCAGGTTCTCAGGGTACCCTCATCCCCCTGGCCAGTGGACTAGGTGGCCTAACTGCTTCTTGATCTAGAATTAATCCCCTTCCATTGGGGATTCATCACCACCACCAGCAACAGCAACATGTCAGCTCGAGAAATGAGTTCCTCCACGGGACAGCCCCCACTCAGGGTTAACCTGCTAAATTTGCCCAAAGAGTTCGGAGA